GTGTCCCCAGGACCCCTTGAGGGCTGAGTGACTGTGTTTCCCTGGTTCTGCAGGGTTAGGGTTAGGGTTAGGTCCCTTAGGGTTAGGGTTAGGATTAGGGTTAGGGTTAGGGTTAGGATTAGACCTGAACCCAGGGCTGCCATTGTCAAGACCCCGTAAGATGAGTGAGGACACAGGACAAGGTGCCGCTTAGAGCAGTCCGCCTGTCAAGGGAGGGTTGGGTGGAAACTGTGGGAGGGAAGAGAGAACCCAGAGGGCCAGAGGGAAGGAGCCGGCCGTGAGAGATGGCGAGATGAAGAGCAGTGACAGGAACGGCTGGGTCGTCCTCGGTCTCTGTAGCTCCCGTGTCCCGGCCTGGGTGACGTGAAGGAAGATGAGCACCTCGAGCACACTCGTGAGGGTCTCGTTACGTGGCGAGGGCGTGGGGTAGGGTGGCTGTGTCTTCACAAAGCTCCCCGTGAGTGAGGCTTCTGTCCCATCAGACAGGTCATTGTTCCTCCGTGGTCTGGGGTCAGCCGCTCAGCAGGCCCCAGTGTGTGCTCACCCCACACAAGGGCTGCACCTCCATCAGCCTGCAGGGGGCCTCCCTGCCTCCCAGCCAGTCTGTCTGTTGACCCGGAAGCAGTTACAGGGAACCAGGGCAGTGGTTGGATTGCGAGCTACATCCTCTCAGCTGGAAGAACATGACCCCAGACTACCTGGAGTACAAAATAGTGTAAGACAGAAGTATTAATTTCATTGAAACTCACAAGGAAAAGCAATGCGCCTCCTGTTGCTCATAATGGAATTCAGCATTGTTTTCATTTTTATATGTGGAATCTACACTTTACCTTGCACCATATTGATTTCACAGCCCACTGATTAAATCAGCTGGACATTTTAAAGGTTTTACTTTTGGACAATTAAATCATCTATGTTTTGGGGTTTTTTTTGGTACAGGGGATTGTCCTTGGGACCTTGCGCTTGCGAGGCAGGCAGGGGCACCACTGAGCTAAATCCCCAGGCCTAGCTTTTGTTTTTTAAGACAGGGTTGCTCTCTGTAGTTCAGACTGGCCCATAAGCCATGGTGAAACTCATGCCTCAGCCTCCCGAGTGCTGGATTACAGGCATGCGCTAGCACGTCCAGCTGCTTTGGGTCAGTTATTTTCATTAAGGACAACCTCAAAATAAAAGCCTTTAGTCTCAGCCCTTTGAAGCAGGTATGATGAGGTTTGAAAATAGCAACTCAGAAAATGCTGTCTGCATTACTGTGTTGTGCCACTCTGCACACTCAGCTCAAGGACTGAGAACACACTTTCCCAAAGAGCCTGCCAAGCTAGGAAAACAGAGGGAGAGAGGATGGTGAAGTATATTGTCACGTCCTCCCTGCAGCGGTTTGTAGGTCTAGTTAGGAAGCATTAGAAAGGACCTTGGGCTGCAGCCACACTCACTGCCCGCCCTTGTCTCCTTCCATTCTGAGCGACGCCTTTTTCTGTTCTTCCTTGACCCGCTTTGGAATAACCCTTCTCTCCAGCCTTGGCACCCTCATTCCCATCCCTCCACGTGGTCCACTTGGCCATGGTGAGGTTGAGGCCTCAGATTGGAGCCTCTGCCCCTTCCACGGTGATTTTATGGAAAGGGCCTGGGGCCTGGCTCTAGGGCCGGGACTGTCAGAGGCCTGTGTGACCTCACCTAGCGCTCACCTTTCTGCCCTGTCCTGTGCCTCGGTGTGTCCTCTAGTAAATGCGGGGCCGGCCGAGGGTGGTGTCTGATGTTTCTGCTGAATGTTCCCACTGCCCACGCTCCCATCCCCTCATCCGGGGTGCGGAGTCACAGAGGGTGTGTTTCTCATGGAAGCAGCCTCTCCTGCCTGCAGCAATCTCTTCCTGAGCGTGTGTCACTGCGGCCACGGTCACCCCTGCCCGAGACGTGTGAAAGGTTCTCACTGTGGTCACCAGAGAGGATCAGGAGGAAGCGACTGATGTCACCAGCTGCTGGTGGGGCAGCCAGGGCCCTGAGCCCTGCACCAGGGCGAGACTGCAAGATCAGGAGGGTTTCCTCTGCCCTGTGGAGGTGGCCTTCCCCTCCAGGCAGCCTGAGCCCCAGCCCTCAGCACTCTCTACCCCAGAGCTCAGGGGGCCTCTGGTCTGTGTCACCACTGAGCAGTACCTCCAGGCCCGCCTGTCCACAGGACCTGACCGAGACTCTCCTTTCATTTCTCTCTCCCTCTCAGGTCCCACGTACTGCTGGAGTCAGGAAAGGTACTGTTGATTTAAGAAGATTCATCACTTTAAGGAGATTCTCGTCACTTTATAGTGACGTCTGCAACAACATACCAGCCACATCGTCATCAGAACCCAGGAGCGATGCTTTGTGAGAACTGGATTCTTAACCAGGGACTGCAGTTGATTTTTATTCCAAAGGCCAGTTTCTATTTTTCAAAGTCACACTCCCTCCAAGTCCACATGTGACATAGACTCCAGAAGCCAGAGGCCTAGATCCAGTTTGTCTCTTTGAATTTCAACTTTATTCCTAAGTTAGGTTAACAAGAATTATTAGAATGATATTGTCTCTAAAATCTACTTAAAAATTCAGTTTTATAGTCTTTATTTTATGATCATTTTGGTAGATAAGGATCTAAATTAACAAAAGCTTTCTTATTTGGTAGTTCTACTAGTCTGAACTCCAGGTGCTTTTAGGCACATTGTACCATATGTAGTAGATTGTATTTGTCCTAGTTTTTTGTTCTCTTTGCATGTGTGTTTTGTTTGATATTTCAGAAGTATTATATAGCTCAGGTCTCACATTGCCCTAAGCATATATTTACACCTTTAGTCCCCTTTTTTCACAAATCTCATATTATATTATATTCTACCTCATATTATGTATATATTCTACACTTGATTTTAGCCAAAAGGCCGAGAAGCGCTGTATATATATTCTAAATGTTCGGCTGTGTTTACCATATGTAGTAGATTGTGTTCCTCACAGTTCTTTCTCCGTGCTGCTTGTGTTTTGGAATGCAGGAAGGATCAGAGGGCTTGAGATTCACGGCGCCCTAAGACCCGTGTTTTCTTTCATTTGACAAGTGTGTCATAGTTACTTTGACAGTTTTACATCATATCTCTCAACTTGAGGCAGCACCTTGGCAGCACTTATTTTCCTTCTTTCTACCCAGTTACCTGCCATTTATAGTGTTATTTCCGCCCAGGCATACATACCCCAGTTACACACCATTTCTCCTACCTGTCTACACCACTGTTTTTCTTGAGATCCAGATGTAATGTATCACTGCTCACCCTCTCTTCAACATCGATTGTCCTCAGTTCTATCTACTTAGTGGGTGAAATTGATCTGTAAGCATTGTCACGATGGAATCGAGTGGCTGTCGGTTCTGCATTATTGTTATACTCTATCCACTGCCTCGACACAGAAAGTGTGAAGGATAGGAGGTCTTTCCAAAAATGATTTTTTGAGTGTTTAGAAAATATTTTTGTGCTTTTTGGGAGAGGTGTGCTGCATCTGTTTTCTGGGCTTCATTTTTGTTCTACCCAGCACAAATTGCTACCAGTTGTTAGTATTTCATTGTAAGTCAGTGTTGAAAAATGCCCATTTGTTGTTTAATTTTGTTTCTTTGAAACAGTATTCCAATAAAATCTGCCAACTGAGATCAGGTGGTGATGTCTTTAATGCCTGCTATAATACGCAGTTTCCTCCACAGTTTCTTTTCCTTCTCTCTCCATCTCACCCTGTCCCAAATTGTCATTTCTGTGTTTCTCGGCTGCATTTTCATGAGTCTGACGTTTGTCCATCGTATTCCTGGGTGTGTTGTCCAGATGCTTCTGTCCTGTGTCCTTGCTGTCATTTGGTGGTGGCCCCTGGAGCCCTGACTGGGCAGCAGGAACAGAGTGCAAGCCACCTATGGAAGCACAAACTTCGTAGTAGCCACATTTTATAGTCTAAGAAATGCAGCACAGAACAACATAAAAATAATCTTTCTCACGCCTTACAAATTATAGCAAAACACAATGGTGTAAAGTGTACACATTTAAAAGAGATTTTTGAGCCAGGGATTTAGCTCAGTGGTTCTTCTGCCTGCCTCCCAAATGGAAGGTCCTGAGTTCGATCCCCGATACCAAAAAAAAAAAAGATTTTTAATGTCACTGCAATTTAAAGTTTCTAGTCAGGTGAGCTCTAAGTTCAGCAAACCTGAAAATTCACTTCTGTATCCCATAGCCATGTTTCCCTCAGCAGGCTTGTGTGCCAGAAGCTACTCTGTCAGAGTGAAGCTGGAACAGTTTCTGTGGTGGACTGGTGGACTTATGTGGACTGCAAATAATGGATCCTCTCCCTTCTCATGACAGCAGCAGGAGGGTTCTGTGGTGTGAGGATGTGACTCATGCCTGCTGCAGAGACTGACGTGCGGTGGAGGAAAGGAGTCGGGTTGGGGCCGTGGCCATGCCCCCACTGAGAACCTTACAGGGCATGTGGACCTGTCGGGTGCAGGGACAGGCCAAGAGGAAGCCACGCTGCCTTCGCCGTGGGCTAGTGGAGAGAGGAAGGGTAAGCAGACTGCAGCCTGTTCTCCACCTCAGAGTTGTTTCCAAAACAGTGCAGAAGTAAAGGTGCAAGGAAAGAGTCCTGAGTGGGGGAGGACAGCAGAAGTAGTGAAAGGGAAGGGTTCCGTGGCTGAGGAGGAGGCTTACGGCCACCCTGCCCTGCACCCTCGCTGCTCCTCTGCCTGGAGCACAGAACTCACACCTGGAAGGGGGCAGAGTGTGCTCAGGTCAGGGCCTGGAGTAGTGACTGTCCAGGCTGCTCTGGAGCACCAGGCCTGTCTCAGTCAGCAAAAGGAAAAATGATGGCTGCTTTGTTGGCATGGGAGCCACTGGCTACTTGTGTCCAGCGGAGCCTTTTGTATAACAATTTTTTAAAAAATTCATCACTCATATTTTCCTATCAGGCAGGGAAAGCAGGCCCCCAATCTGATGCTTTCCTGATTCATCTTAGCTAAATGACCAGTTTCATCACTAGCATGAGCTCCCTTTTACACAACACTGGAAGAGGTTTAGATGTGATCTCTCCGTGTTTCAAAGTTGTCTTTCCTGCAGTTTTCAGTAACATTCCTGGTCTCCACGTGTAAAGTCTCCAGAATCACCGTGCACCTGCGCATTTCCAGCAGCACCTGAAACCTTCTTCCCTCCTCTCCCATCACCCTGTTGCAAAGCTGCCTCCACATCCTTTGCCTTTCACATCCCACCTCTCGGCAGCTCAGCCCATGTTAGGGTTTGCAGAGAGACAGAACCCATGCATAGCAAAGAAGGAATTTCGCTTCTGAGAGGATGGAGACTGCGGTTACCATGGACAAAGCTGGAGCTGAGGACAGGAAAGTGCAGTTCCATTCAGAGGCTAAAGGCAGAAAGAGCCACTGCCCAGCACATCCGGAAGCCTGGGGACACCTTATTCCCTACAGCCCTGCTGATGCTGTGCAGGCTGCTCCTGCACCTCCGCCCACATCCGGCCACCCTCAGCTCCCTCCCACCCCACACAACTGGCCAGTGGGCGAGCACTGCCCGGGGTTGGGGCACAATGCCACAATCCCTTCCCTTCCAGGGACACCCAGGTCCATGGCAGGATAAACAGGCAGCTTTCAAACCTTACCGCGGATAGGATGATCAGCAGTGCTATGATCAAGGACACACAGTAGATCAGGAAATCTAGGAAAGATGGGTGCACGCAGACACCAAGAACCTGAAGGGACCAACAGTGAGCTACAAGGTTGAACCAACGTGTAAAAGTCTCCCTGCGAAGCAAGGCCCAGGACAGGATGAAACCGCACTGAATTCTACAAACCATGTGCAGAGGAGCTGTCTGCAGTCCTTAAACTTCTCCCAGAAATGGAAAAGCAGGGAGCTCTGCCCAAATCACCTGCCCTTCATAGCTCAGTCTCCGAGCAAAAACCTCCTCTCCAATCTGCACTCCCCACGGAGTCCCAGACCCCACTCCCCTCAAGCGTTAGCAGTGTCCAGACCCCTCAAGTGGGATGTGCACGGGAGGATGGGGAGTCTCTGTGCCCCAGAAGTGTCAAACCACAGGGCAGGGCTCAGAGGGCCGTTGATCCGGGCATCGTGCCTGCCAGTGGTTCCCAGACCCACATCTGAAAGACGCCCACTTTCTGAGTCCGAAAGGCTGCACAGTTGCTTCCCCAAGTGTGGCCTGTGGTGAGGACCGAGGGCTCCCCTGTCTCTCTAGCATCTGCGGCAGCTGTGGGTCCTCGGACTTGGACTTGAAGGCGGTGTGGCACCGCTGGCGGTCTTTCTGGCCTCTCCCGGGGCATCTGCGCTGCAGCCGGCGCCACACTGTGCCTCCCTTGTCCACGAGGGGGCGGCAGGGGACCTATCACCGAGGAGCCCCGTGCCAGGGGTTCAGGTTGGCTGGTTTGCGGTCGGGGCGGTGAGCAGTCCCCTGGCCATTCCGCAGTGGCCAATCCTGTGATCTGGGCACTCTGGAGGCTGAGCCCAGGCTGGGGACTCAGGGAGACTTTGACTCAAAGTGGTGGGGCGGCTTGGAATGTGGCTCCCTGCTAAGGCCCCGACCTCATTTCCCAGGACCTCGGGAGAAAAAGTGAGGAAAAGAAAATAGGAAAGACATCGGCGATTGTGCAGGGATGGGGCATAGGCGGAAGAAAGGATTGCAGAGGAGCATGAGGAGACTGCAGGCTGACAGAGTTGTTCATTTTGTGACTGTGGTGATGGTTACCTGGCTGTACACACCCACTATCAATACACATTAAACCAACCCTTTATTATTTTAATTAGAAGAAAATCGCATGTAGCTCTATGCCAAGATATTTGAAAAATCTCTATTAAAAAGACAGCCCATCTATCTACCCAGGGGTGCACAGGCTTCCAGTTTAGAACTTCAAGGCTGAAACTGCTCTGTGCTTTTCTCCTCCACTCTTCACACAGGGCAGTGGCCAACTGGCAGTCATTCCTGCTCCCCACAGTCCACCCCACCAGCCTCCCTACATGTACACACATAAAATGTATGCCATTTATCAAATTTAAACAATAAGTAGGTAAACCCATAACGATATTTTAAATTTCAATATCCTCTCTGGAATTGATTCAAAGACGAAGAAATAATTCAATAAGGTTTCAGAAGGCTATAGAAAGTGTAGACAGCATTACTCACCAGCTGGACCCAGTGACCCCTGTTGAATGCCACCCACCCCGGCAGTGAAAGGATCACATTCACTCCAGAGGCACATGGGCCATGCCCCAGGACCATGTGCTAGATGACAAATCCGCCTCAGTAAGTCTAAGGGACCGAAACCCCGGACAGCATGTGCTCCAACCACAAGAGAATTAAACTACAAATAAGTAACAAAAAGATCACCAGATATTCAGAAATTTACACCCCAAAGAGGACAGAACTCTGCTTTCAGCCACTATGAAACAGTGAGGCTGGATTTACTTTTCACCCTTAAACAACTAGGAGATTGGATGAAATATATGAAACAATGGTTTTGGTTTTATATTTCTCCTTCTCTCTCACCCTTCCATTCACCCTCTTTCTTCCTTCCTTTCTTTCTTATATACCTTATTTAATTCCAGGAAGTACTTGGGTCTTTATATCATGTGGCCGAGTCTAGTGTCAAACTTTGTAGCCTTCAATTAATGTGGTTAAATGATTTTCTGCCAGCTTAACATCATGACCTCAATAGGCAGCACATAAAGTCTCTAAAACTTGTATTTTGCTTTTTACATTTCTAAGCTTTATCATTATTTTTGTTGTTTGCTTTTGGTACTGGGAATTGAACTCGGGACCTTGTGCTTGCTCGGCAGGTGCTGGAACCACTGAGCTAAATCCCCAGCCCGCTTTATCATTATTTTTCTTGATTCTCCCAAGAATTCTGTGCCTTATCATTCTATTTTTCCAGGCAGGAAATGTACAAAAACTTTTTTTCATCTACACTGTATCTGGTGATTCTTCCAACACGTTATTTGTGGTGAAGGCAGCAGAGGGCGCCCGACAACGGCTAAGATGGTCTAAAAGTGACATCACATTTAAGATAATCATTAAATTTTCAAAAATGTAAAAAAAAAAAAATCTCAAAAATGTGATTTTCACTAAAATAGGACCCTGTACTTAATCTTTTTACTATTTTAGGTTGCTGATCTCACTTTGGATGTTCTGTTCCATTTCTTCCGCAGTAATTAGAATTTCAATCTCACGTAAATCACCATGACATGTAATCTCAGAGTCTGCCACTTTGGCTTCAAGATTCTTCCAGATAATAAAAGTATTAGACCCTGGCTCTCCCAGACCATTCTAAATCTTCAATGGGGAATACTCTGTGCTTTTCGAAGGCCTTAAGTGGGGACCTGTTACCTACTGGGAATAGAAGTTCTGTGACCGATGAGCTATTTTGCTTCAAGTGCACTGCCTGCGGGTTACTCAGAATTCTCAGAGAAGTATGAAAGGATTAGGCACATTGTTAGAGTACAGGGACATAGGAGAAATATAACTCCCAACCTGTTAATGTCAAATGTACAGAGTTCATGGTCCCATGACACCGAAGAATGAAGTTGTGAACCTAAAGAAGAAACTAGGAGAGTTTTGTTTGAAATAAGGAGAGAGGAATAGCTCCTCAATTTCCAGGAGGGGTCCTGAGTGGGTGGCCACAGAGGCTCTTTGTCAGGAGTAATTTCTACAGCAAAGTCACAGTGTGGGTACAACTCGGATCAAACTACAATCAACCTATAGGATTACTAGTATAGCCACTTAACTAATATTGTTCCAATAGGGAAACAAGGTATGTAGCAAGGGTACATGGAAAGAACAAAAGCATTTTGGGGAAGGGATGGGTCCGGATCCTCTGGTCACTTACCTGGGGTGACTAATGCCTATCTGGACATCCTGGACCAGGTGGTACTGATTACATTACCTCAAGTTACTGTTTATCCCATTGGGTTAGACCTGGCCATAGGCGTGGCCATTGCATCTTTATCTTGAGCCCTGGCCTTCACATGCACCTCCGGCCACAATTCTGATGTCTTTACTTTTGTGCTGATTTTCTTGAGAACCCAGTCCCTCTCTGACTGTGCATTAATTTTTATCTAACATAACTGCCTATAATAACAGCACACAGAAGGGATATAACTATTCCCCCTGGGCAACAGTGAGGATTTACCTTTCGTGCCTCATCATAGATGACTGCGTCTGGAGGCTCAGGCCAGGTTTCCGTGAAATTCTCCAGCTCCTTCTGATCAGATTTGAACTTTTTTCTACCATCCCATATCGTCTACAAGCAGTGTTGGAGATCATGACAGCCTTGATCCAATTCTACCTTTTTCCCTAATTTTCCCCAAATTTCATGTTTCTTCTTAAAGAACCAGGTTTATGGATTGACTTGGAGTTGGTTGGAAAATCCTTTCTCCTTGGCTTTTCTGTGGTTAGAAACCAGTAGACTAGAACCTCACTCTTTCTTTCTCTCTCTTTCCCTGAAGCAATTCCTTTATTTTTTTATTTTTAAATTGTTTTATTGGTACATTTTAGGTATACGTTTACTTTTATCATTGGGTGCTTGTACCTGTACATGATGTATCTTGGTTCTTATTTTTTTCCCCATTACCTGTGCGCCCGTCACCACCCCCCCTTCCCTAATTACATAGATTTCGTTTCCATTTTTTTTTCTTTTCTCATAATTTTTCCTTTCCCTTCTTCCCTTTCCCCTTTCCTTCCCACCATCCCTAAGCCTTTGGACCTTTTCCTCTTTCAAATTATCAATTATTCGTTTTAATCATTTTAATCCTTATTTACACTTTCTGAAGCAATTTCTTTCAAAGGGAAAGTCCTGGCTTTCCAGAGGTGATGACCTCCGCATGACTTGAACATGTCTCTTGAAAAAGATCTCCTTCACCCCTCTCTGAAGAGGAAGCACAAGAAGGAACGCCTGGTGCAGAGCCCCAATTCCTACTTCACGGGTGTGAAGTGCCCAAGACGCTGTAAAATCATCACAGTCTTCAGCCATGCACAGACGGTAGTTCTGTGTGTTGGCTGCTCCACTGTCCTCTGTCAGCCTACAGGAGGAAAAGCAAAGCTTGCTGAAGGATGTTCCTTTAGGAGGAAGCAGCACTAACAGTACCCTGAATAAACGTGAATGGGAAGCCATTTCAATAAACACATTTTGTATTTAAAGAGAAAAGTCGGGGTCCTTTGGGATTTCACAAAGAACCGAGATCACTTCCTGATTTATGCTTATTCCTCTGCCAAACGTTTGCGTGTCCTCGTCACATTTCCTTGGTTACAAGCTGATAACTGAGTAATTAAAGGATCTTTACTGTGCTCTTTCAAACCATAGCGTTGCCACTTCCACGCTGCCTCTTGTTACAGAATTTGCCCCAGGAGCGTGACTGCAGTTGAAGGGTGACACCACCAGCCCTGGTTTATCGGAAGAGACACAAATGTCCTCGGAGTTAGGACAGCTGCGCGCTGAGACACATAGAATGGCAAGGGCTGCTTCCTTGTTTAGCTCAACACCCTTGGTACTGAACAGTACCTGGCACATTTTATATGGCTGGGGAAGGGACTGTCTCAACTCAAGGTCTGCTATCCAAATGGACGTGCATGAACCTTTTCAGGGGAATGAGGCCGAAGCATTCATCTGATCAGATCCATGAGAAAAGAAAGTGGCTGACTGGAGTCATCCCATAGCGCCAAGTCCCATCCTATGCCTCTGCCACACTAGGGGGTCCGGAAAAGAACCAGTCAGGCGAGCCGGAAGCCGACCTGGACCTGTCGGAAGTGACGCGCTTTACCCGCGCCGGGCTGCGCCCTGCCAGCACGCGATTCCGGCCCGCGAGCCACTTTCTTGAGGTGTCTGGGCGCAGACTCTCGCCCGGCGCAATGGGCAAGAAGGGTAAAGAGAAGAAGAAGGGCCGCGGTGCGGAGAAAACGGCCGCCAAGATGGAGAAGAAGGTGTCTAAGCGTTCGCGGAAGGAGGAGGTGAGCGGGCCCCGGGGTGCAACTGGACGTCACGGCGGGGTGGCCTCGGGGCGGGGGAAGCGGGAGCCGGGAGGACGCGGGCGCGGGGAGCTGCAGCCGGCCCGGACCGCGCACTTCCACCCCTGCCGGGCCGCCACGGCTCCGCGCTCCGCGTGTTCCTGGCCGCGCTCGCCTCAGCCCCCCGCGCCTCGGGAAGCGCAGCCCCATTACCGCGCGGGCTTTCCCTGACCTGCATCCGGGCGCTTCTGAGCCTTCTGCTAACTCGCTCCCTTCCGCTGTGAGGCAGGGTGGCGGGACGGGTTAGTGTGGAGGCCCTGGGGGTGAGTCTCGCTCCTCGCGAGGCGCGCGGTTCGGGCAGAAGGCCGTGAACCCTCTGAGCCTCTGTGAAGAGGGAAGGAGCCGTCGCGGCATCCCGGAGGAGTGAGCGTCCCGTGGGTTAATAACCGAGGAAGCCACTGGAACAGTTGCTGGTGACCCCACTGTCCCGTCTTCATTCCCTTCTCTCCCTTCTCGCTGCAGACCTGCGGGTGTCTCAGTGCTGGCCTGGGGGTTGGGTGTGGTGCTTTCTGTGGCGGCGGCTGCTACGGGCCTCCCTCACCCGGGGATCGTGATGGCCAGCGTGTATTGAGGGTTTTCTTTGTGTGGGACACTGCTGTCTGGGCTTTCAGCCGCACAACAGTGAGAGTTAGGTGGAGTTGCCAGTCCCATTGGGCAGAGGAAGGCAGAGACTGACAGATTACACAGCTCGGAGTTGCAGAGCCGTGATGTCGATGTCGTGTGGCGTTGGGTCTGACCAGATGTTCCCCACCCAGGGCTCTTGGCCACATTCCTTTGCCCGCTTTCTTCTGAAGGTGCTCTTTTCTCCTTTTCCTTATCTGTCAAATAATGGGGTTGGACTTTTTCTTTGAACTCTTTGAACTCACTTCAGGCTCTAACCTTCTAAGGTTCTTGACCAGTTAAGAGCACAGACGCTGCAGCCAGAGAGTCTGTGTTTGAATCTCACCTCCACCACAACTAGCTGGGTGACCTCAGAGGAGCAAGTCCTGCTGCATGGTGGGTGGCACAGGAAGTCAGTTCAGCTGTGTGGCATCCTTACAACAGTGCTTGGCCCAAAGAAAGCACTCAGCAACTAAATGTGAACTGTCATTTTTCCTTATCTTCACAACTCCCAGTAGGGCCTGGTTCTTAGGATCTTACCAGTGGCTTCCTCAAAGAAAGTGAGTCTGGCCTGGGACCTTGCACACTATCTTGATTCATTCTAAAAACAAACCTTTAAGTTTGCTGGTGGTCTGATTAGGTGCTTGTTCTTGTGCTGGCTCAATCTCTCTCCATGTTTTGAGACAGGGTCTCACTGTACCACAGGATGACTGGAGGCAATCCTCCTGCCTCAGCCTATTGAATGCTGGGATTACAGCCGTGTACCGCCACATCCATTAGGAAGCACAAGGAATCTTGGAGTCAGCTGGGAATCTTGCTACCACAGAGTCACCTGATTGACAGCTTCTCTCTGTCCAGTCCTCAGGTGCCTCCAGGACACTGCTCCAGCCACACCACATTTATCCTGGTTTTTCAAATGTTCCAAATTCTTTGTTCTTATGGTCATTGTTTCTGCCCCAGTCACCTTGCTTGTGAGTAGCTTCTTTTTATCTTTCAGCTTAGTGTCACCTGAGAGAGGCTGTCACCCACCAGGACACTTGTATCATGCAGGCCCTGCTGCTTCTCTACCTCCCTGCTGGTGATTATGAGGCTTCCCCAAGGTCAGGGTGACCACGTTAGAGTAGTAGAGCAAAGTGTCCTCAGTGCACAGTTGTTGTAGTCTGGTGAGGTTGGTTCACTGTGGAGGACACAGAAGAGGGCTGCTGGGCTAACTGGCAGGAAGTGGGAGAGATGACAGTTGAGGGTGCTGAGTGTGTCCTCCCAGTAAGTGACAGCTGGCACTGCCCTTCCCCTTTGCGATCACCGTCTGTATGCGGGAAGTGCCAATGGAGCCTGCCCCCAACAGGAGACACAGTGGGACTCCTTGTCCTTCTGTGAGTGGGTTAGCTGTAGGCATGGTCTTGTGGTGGGTGGCAGTGCCAGCTGTGTGCCAGGACCAATACAGTTGCTCCCTTCCCCTGCTGCTCCTCATTCCAGCCCACTGTGTCCTCCTCCTCATCTTGCAGTAGTTCCTCCTCCAGGTCTTTCCATAAAGGTCTATTTCTGCAGTAATAGGTCTTGAGTATGCTGTGGAGTGTGCTGTGTGTTAGGTTGTGATGGTCCATGGGACGGCCATCAGGTGACCACCACGTGGCAGGAGCGGGATGATGGGCACCTCTGTGTGTTTCTGTGAGCACATCCTTTGGTAGAGCCACTTGGGGTGCCAGTGTGTCCATTCCTAGGAAAGTGGATGCTGCAGTGCAGCAGTCTCATCTAGAGAATACTCAGAAAACCATCTCCACAAGGAGACAGACACAAGAATGGCTGTAGTAATATTGCTTATTAAAAGAACAACAAAAGTGGAATTAACCCAGATGGTCCAGCAAGAAGGTGGATAAATAGGCTGTGATGGAGGAGTAAATGAGTGGTTTACTGAGCCGTGCTGGGCCAGAAAGCAAGTTGCTTAAGAATATACAGTATGGTGCCCTTTAATGAAATTGAAGACTGTATAGCAATCCTGTGTATTGCTTAAGGATGTGCCCTTGGGTAGTAAGTGTATAAAGAAGCACTAAAGCATAGTAAGTACCAGGTTCCAGATCAGGGTTCTCTAGGAGGTGTGAGGGTTCACATGCAGCATCAGCTTTCTGGGTGACACTGTCTTCCTTAAGCTGGTGGATGTATAGAAGAGTGTCTTGCATTCATTTGATGCCTTCCTGTGTGTGTTAAGTACTTCATATTTCAAATCGCAAGCAGTGTGTCCTGCAGTGGGAGCCACCGACCTGGAAGGGTTGACGCCCAGCCTGAGACTGAGGGGAAGTGTCTGTAGGTGCTAGAAGGACATCTGACCTTCATTCCTGCAGAATGTGGCAACAAGAGCTGAGGCAGGGCGGGGGGATCCCACTTTTCAGCTTGAATAAGGTAAAGGGTTAAGAGTTGCTGAGGAGATCAAGAGAACGTTCCAGTGACAGCCAGGCCGTGCATCCATCACCAGGTGGCCAGGCCTGGGTGCCAAGAGGTGGTTGGAGGGGAGGTGAAGCCAGATGGGCTTGTCTAACCGGAAGGCCCTTCGGGAGCCCGGGGGTCTGTCACGAGATCACCCTGAGGAGTGCTTGCATCGGCACCGGCACACAGACTGCCTTTCAACTCAAGTGCTGAACCCTTTTTCTGTGTGTCAGGTTCTATGCATTTCAGACTCAGCAGATCAAGTTAGGATTTGCAGACGTGACCAGAGCTCAGTCTGCTCAGATTGACACAGGGGGAGAGCTGAGCAGGCTTTTGCCTCCGTGACAGGTTTAAGAGTCTCACGCGGGGCTGCTTATGTGTCCCTAGGAAGACCTGGAAGCCCTCATTGCCCATTTCCGGACACTGGATGCCAGAAAGACGAAGATCACAGAGACCCCCTGCTCCCCGCCGTCTGCACGGTAAGCAAGCTGACTTCTTTGTCCTGCGATTCTGACTATTTCCTTTCCTCTTCTCAATTGGAAAGCTGCTTTCTTTCCATCAGCACCATGTTTTCCTAAATGACCCAGCCCTGGGGACATTTTGTCCACTGACACCTGCTGTGTGGTCCCTTGCCTCTAAGAGCTGGGCTATGGCTGTCAGCTCTGCTGTCCTGCAGTGCGAGGAGATGTGGTTTCCAAGCAGGCTACTCCCCTTGGGGATTTTGTTTATTTGTTTTTTTGGTTTCATGAGACACAATCTTGAATTGTAGTTCAGGCTGGCCTTGAACTCACTATGTTGCTAGGCTGGCTGAGACTCTCAGTGATGTTCCTGCCTCAGCCTCCCAAGTGCTGGGATTACAGGTGTGTGCCACCATGGCCACATGCTGCTCCCTTGGGATCTGCTTGGCTGTAAAGCTCTCTAGTCAGCAGCAACTTGTGGACAGAAGTGTGCCTCAGCAAGCTTTGCTTTTGTTCTCAAGGTGTTTTAAAAGTGCACATTGGGCAGGGGATTTGGCTCAGTGGTTTTGCCAATCCCTGGTACCAAAAAAAAAAAAAAGTGCATATCAGAGGAAAACTGAAAGTCACCATAGCATTGTGCTGTGTTCACTCCTAAAGCTTTTATATTCTCAGGTGAAGCCGGGCATGGTGGCACACACCTGTAATCCCAGTACTCAGGAGCTTGAGGCTGGAGGATCAGCAAGAGTTGGAGACCAGTCTGGGTTACACAGGGAGTTGCAGGCCAGCTTGAGATACAGAGCAAGATGCTGTCTTCAAAAAACAGGGCTGAGGATTCAGATCGGGGCACTGCCCCTGTCTTGCCAGCCCAAGGTCCTGAGTTTGATCCTAGGTATCCAAAAAAAATACTGTGTCTTGTGACACACAGCTGTAATCCCAGCACTCTGAGATGCTCAGGTACCAGGATCACAAGTTTGAGCCCTGCCTGGGCAACTTAGCAAGATCCTGTTGCAAAATAAAAAGAGAAGGAGCTGTGGTGTAGCTCCTGTGAAGGCCCTGGGTTCCATCCCCAGTACATGCGTTACACACAGACATACATCAATTTGTGTGTGAGCCACTTTCAGTGAATGTATGAGTTATGGAAAATATCCCAAGGTCTTAAAGGATATCAAACACCTGTGGAACACACAAAGGGAACATGCTTTGGTCTCCACGTGGCTTCTTCCCCAGCTTCTGGGTTCTAATTATTAACTAATTTGGGTCAGGCTCTTGTAACTCTTCTGTTTGCTTTGCACGCTGAGTGCTGCACACTAGGAACCTGGGAAAGGCCCAGTGCCCTCATAAACAGGTATGGTGCCATTCAGGGTAGGGAATAGCGTAAGCTTTACCGGCATCTGGGCCGGATTTGTGTAGCTGTGGAATCGTTTGCTTCGTTTCCTTCAGAATAAAGTTAAGCTTCTAGGCCGCATCTCTCAGTGCTGCTGTCACAGCCTGTGATGCAGGCCTTCAGGGAGGCCTCCCTATTGTGCTCCCTTTGCGTCAGTGAGGTGCAGGTGACAGTGCGGATCCCTCTGACCCCATGGGTGGGCTTTAGGCGTCACCTGCGCCCAGCTATGGGAGGCACACAGTGATGAGCCCCGGAGCAGAATGTGTGAGGTTGGAGCAGCCCCAGGGTGGGAGGCCTTTCTCATCTTCCTTTAATGAATTCTGCTGGGAACTGGGTTTCGTTTTTCCCTGTAGTTGGCGTGTTATAATTGGGTGAAACATGATTTGCGCATGGCAGGTGGACATTTGTGTCGGACTTGTTGAAGCAAACCTGAGATCCTAAGGCTTCACGTATGCACCAGCACTCCTGAGGAAAGCCGCTGAGTGTGGAGTGTTGTTAGTTTTTGGTGATGTGTCAGAACCTTTTCCAAAGGTTCATTGCTTCAAAAGTCAGGTTTAGTGTCGGGCTGCGGTTCAATATGTGGGTGGCTCCCTGGGTCAGGGTAGAGTGTTGCTGTTTGCAGGCAGCCGTTACTGACCAAGAGAGATGGAATGAGACCTCGCTGGGTACCTTAGTAACTTCTGACCTCCCTCCCTCCTCTGGACCTGTTAGGTAAAAACCCTTGAATTACAAGTTCTCGAGGATGCAGATCCTGAGCATTGGCCCAGGTGTGCCTAAGGGTACCTGAGGACCGGGCACGCGGTTCCTTCGTGCTTCTCGCTGCCTGCACCTCCATCCATGCCTGGGTAAGGTGTGCTTGGCGCCATGGGCCTGGTATAGATTCTTCCGATGTGACGCTGTCTAGTTTTCCACAGAAAATTAAAAGCGGAGTACCAGAGGAACTTGGGAAACTATAAAAAAGCATTTGTATTCTGATTACATATGTAAAACTTGAGATTTGCCGTTTACACCATTTTTGACTTAAACTCAGTGGGTTATTGATATTCACAGTGCTGTGCAGCCATCAGCGCTGTCCAGTTCCAAAACCTCATCTTCGCCCCACAGCAGCCCTGTCCCCATGAAGCAGTCACTGCTCGCTCCCCTGCTGCCAGCTCCAGTCCGATTTCCCTTGCTGTGGACTTCCTGTTCGGGGTGTTCCACAAAGGTTGGGCCGTGCCGTGTTCGTGTGTAGGGATCGCTGCTTCCGCCTGTCTGTTTCCCAGGTCGTCCGTGTTGCAACAGGGATCTGAGCCTGCTTCCTTCTTGGGGCTGGATGATCCATGTAGTGGATCCATTCCCGTCAGGGCTTGGGCGGCTTTCCCTTTATTGGCCGCTGTGAATCCTGCTGCGGTGAGCGTTGCTGGATGGGCATCTGTTTGTGTCTGGACCCAGGAGGAGAACCACAGACGCGTGGTGATTCTGGATTGAGCCATCTGAGCGGCTCCCGAGCTGTTTTCCATGGCCGCTGCACTCTTTCGTACTGGCTTTTACTGCTAAATTTCTCAGCCTATAGAATGTTCCGGTGCACAGTAAATCCCCAAGAGAAAATTGAGGCTTCAGATTGCCCCAGCTTACTTGACCGTGAAACCTGTTTATCCGTTGAGAAGCTGTCTTGGGAGGAGTGGTGTGGACACGCTGTGCACAGCCCTGCAGAGGATTCTGAGCGCAGGGCCCTTTCCAGTGTGGGCCTCGTAGTCCCTGCATCTTTTCCAGCTTTCTACTGAGATAGTCAGAGTGTGCGTGTTTTGACTTTTGTCCTGAGTGGGAAGTAAATGAAGTCAGTAACGTTTTCTAGATGGAGGGCTCCTGGCACACTGTTGAGGTACTTCCCAGGCAGGACCTTGGAGAACAGTTCTGACTGTGAAGTGAGCGACCAGACACCGAAAGCAGGATGGGGCTGGCGACTGGGCACGGAAGTCAGGGCTAGGCTCCTTCCCGCGGTGATGTCAGCGGCTGGCTAGGAGTGCGGCAGCCAGACCAGGGCTCTCCCTGGAGCACGAGCCTGGCATCGGGCTGGCGGCCAGCAGGTCGGGTCCAGGGTGGTGCCTGTGCTTCCGTCCTGAGGCCCAGGCCCTCTCTCTCGGGGTCTAGGGAAGGCCAGGCTCTGGTGACAGCCGTGCAGCGGGGAGGGGCCTGGTTCTCAGCGCCCTGGCGGGGCCTGGTGGGGCCTGCTGGGACCGTGCTCATCCACTGTTCCTATCTCTCGCAGGTTGAATGCCTCCCTCTCCGCACATCCTGAGAAAGATGAGTTAATCCTTTTCGGAGGTGAATATTTCAATGGCCAAAAAGTAAAGTATATATTTTTTTCTCTTCCTCCCAACTTCCCAGGTGTCATTTGGAGTAAAGTTAGGTCACAGTATAAATGGCCGTTGGTCCTTTCCCTCCCCTCTCCTGTGTCCCACGTAGTGAGCCTCAGGCCCGATGTAGGGCATCTGAGTGTCCCCAGGACCCCTTGAGGGCTGAGTGACTGTGTTTCCCTGGTTCTGCAGGGTCCTTGTCCTCTGGGACTCAGCTGTCCCTGCAGTCACTCCTGGCTGCACGTGTTGGAGGTGGACCTATGCCCTTCTCCTGCTCATGTGACTTTCACAGTCACAGTTCACAGCGTGCAAAGTCTTGCCGTGCTGGGGAGCCACCCCAGGGCCTTGCAGGTGCTAGGCAAGTGCTCTGCCACTGAGCCACGCCTCCGGTCCTCAGAGTTAATTGGAATACAGCAGCTGCTGGTGAACGGGGCCCAAGGTTATTTCAGCAGACCAGAAAGCCCAGTGTTTCAGACTCATGTAGGGAACAGTTAAAACGTGATCTCAGGTCCCTCGAGCCTTGAGGAGCTCCGAGTCTGACTTGCCTCCCCCAGCCTCCTCTGGGCATTTGCATGCATTTCTAGACCCCAGGCTCAAAGCAGTGAGGAGGCTGAGTGAGCAGCCAGGCTCTGGGTGCCTTAGAGGTCAGTGGGCGGGGCCCGGCGGCCTTTTTCTTTATACCATGGTCCCTGACTTGAGGAAGGTTCTGCTTACAAGTCCTTGACCTTACGACAGTGGGAAAGGGTCCCTACATGACCATGCTGGTGTTTACCTTCAGAACAGTGTTCAGTACGTGTCGTGAGAGATCACACTTTGTTATGAGAGGCTGCGCTGGATGGTTTTGCCCAGCTGTAGGCTGATGCTAGTGTTCCGGGCACATTTGAGGTCGGCCTGGCTAAGCTATGAGGTTCGGGAGGTTAGGTGCATAAATGCATTTTCAGCTCACGATGCACTCCACTCGTTGGGACTTGGTCCCGAGGCATGTTGACGAGCATCTGTCTTGTCACACCAGAGGACCTTGGGACCTTTGCACTGTCAGCCTGCATTGGTCGGATGCACACTGCTCTAGGAGAGAAGCTTCCCAGCCAGTTCTAGTGACTGCCAGAATCCTAGCCGCTCCTGTCACTTGCCTACCAAGTCCTTCATGACACTGAAGGTCCTTTTGCTTCTTGCAGACCTTTTTGTATAACGAGCTTTACATCTACAACATCAGAAAGGACTCCTGGACAAAAGTCGACATCCCTGGCCCACCGCCAAGGCGCTGTGCTCACCAGGTAACATCAGCACTGACTCTCAGCCTTCCTTCCCCTTCCTATGTCCTGAGCTGGTGGCCCTTTTAGTCTATGGGTGATGGGCAGCCTCCTGCAAAGAGCCTGGGACTCCCCAGGATGTCCTGGGGTAGCTGTGGTGATAGTGTTGTTGTTATTTGGATTTGTTTGGGGGATTTTGTTTTGTTTTCGGGTCTCACTATGTAGATCTGGCTGGCCTTGAACTCACTGGGATCCTCCTGCCTCAGCCTCCCAAGTGTTGAGATTACGGGTGTGCCCCACCATGCCTGGCTATTGTTGTTTTGAGACAAGGCCTCACAATGTAGTTCAGGCTGGCCTTAGACTCACTATGTAGCCCAGGCTGGACTTGAACTCGAAGTGATCCTCCTGCCTCAACCTCCGGAGTAATGGAATACAGGCTTATGCTACCCTGCCCACCTGGCTCTGCTTTTTGTAAACGAAGCTACACTCGTTTCTGTCTCTTCACCTGCTCCCAGGTGGTGTGAAGAAGGTGTGTGACGCTCTCTGTGAAAGTACCTTGTGCCACGCCTGGTGTGTAACAGCCACTCTGTAGTGCTTTCTTCCCATTTGAGTGAGAGGACCCCACAGAGCCTCAGTCTGGACTGGGTGATGAACAGGAGAAGATGGAAGCTCAGAGAGGGGCACGTGGTGGAAGGAAAGTCGTTACTATAGAATGAACTGAGACATAAGGAAGAAGTGGCAGGGAGTGAGCAGGAGGGCAGCTGTCTCTGCCAACTCGAGGGAGCATTGTCGGAGCTGCCGGGCCTCGCAGGGAGCAGCTCCTGGTCTCGGTGTCCCCCAGGCTCCGTAAGGCTGCGCCGTGTCCTTGTGCACCACTGCACCCCGTCCTTAGCACGGCTGGGACTCACTTCCCGGGAGGGAAGCAGGGAGCATGGGTCACAGCCCATGCTTTGCTCCTCTGTGGAGGCTGCAGGCAGCCCATGGGATGAGGCAGAGCAGGAGGTACAGCGAGAGGGGGAAGCAGAAGGTGTGAGCGTACAGCTCCGCACTCACTGGGTGGTTGGTGCTCCGCGAGTGACAGTGAACCTCACTCATGTGAACCGAATTCTCACAAAGAAAGAAAAGAAAAGCATACTCCATTGTATAAAAAAACCATATCTTCTTTTTCCTTGTTGGTATTTGGGCTGCTTCCAAGCCTTAGCTATTACAAACTTTGCCGCTTTGAACATGGGTGCACATACATTGCTGTGGTATGATTCTTTGAATTCTTTGGGGAAGATCCCCAGCAGGGGAATAGCTGGGTCAAATGGGACCTCTAGTCCTAGTTCTTTGAGGTGTCTCCATGCTGATTTCCACAGTGGTTGCACCAGTCTGCACTCCCACCAACAATGGAGCAGGGTTCATCTTTCCCCACGGGCCCGCCAGCATTTGTTATTGGTTGATTTCATGATACCAGCCATTCTTTCTTTAGTGAGGTGTAATCTCAGCATTGTTTTCATTTGTTCTCTTGAATGACCAGTGATGTTGAACGCTTTTTCATATATTTTTTGTTTGTTTGGTTTTTTGCTACCAGGAATTGAAGGGCCTTGTGCTTGCCAGGCAGGTGCTGTGCTACTGAGCTACATCCCCGGCTTTTTCATATACTTATTGGCCATGTCTAGTTCTTGCAGTTTGTTTGTTTGTTTGTTTGTTTTAGATAGTTTTCAAGAAGTTTTAACATGAGAAAGGAAAAGGTCATATCTACTACGGTCTGTTTATACGATCTGCAGTTGACTTAGGGTTTACCATTTCCAGGTAGTGGTATGCGCCTATAATCCTAGTAGTCCACAAGCTCGAGGCAGGAGGGCCCACTGCAAGTTCTAGCCTAACCTGGGGATTTACCAATTGAACAAGATCTCCTTGTTTGGCCTTTTCCAGCCTACTTTATTCCTTGTAGATTTTCTTTGGTCAACCTTCAGTCTAAAGGGCTTTTTTTTGCCATTTCTTAAAGCGAGATCCGCTGGCCATAAGTTTTTCAGCTTTTTTAAATCAGTGAATATGTCTTCATTTTGGAAGTGTTTTTGCTTGACATGGAATGCCAGCTCACACCAGAAGGCATGTGTTGTTTTCAGGGAATGATTGGTGGCGATTCTTATGTTCTGTTTCTCAGCATTGGATGGGGACCCGGGGCCTCCTGCCTGCTAGGTAAGGGCTGTACCACTGAGATACATTCTAGCCAGTCATTCTTAATTCTGTTTAGTGTTCATTTTGTCCTCTTTAAGGCTGCTTAGAAGATTTTCGCTTTATCCTTGGTATCAGTTTGATTTGATATATCTTTTGTCTTTTTCTAGGATTAACATGTATGTTAGACTGCTTAATATTATCCATCTAGATAATCTCCCCCTTTCATATTCTCTCTCTCTCTCTCTCTCTCTCTCTCTCTCTTTCTGTCTCTTTCTGACAGGATCTCACTGTGTAGTTCAGGCTGGCCTTGAAGTCATGGCGATCCTCTTGTCTTGGCCTGCCGAGTGCTGGGATTACAGGTGTGCATCACCATGCCCAGCTCCTTTAGCTTTTTATGTCCATGGTAAACTTTTTGGTGGTTTCTGTTGCCCCTTTCAAGAGCAGTGAATGTGCTGTGAAATGATGAATTTTCCTTTTTATGTACAGTGTTGACAAGCCCTGGATGTTCTTTGGTTCTTGATCCTGCCTTCCGTTAGCTCTGTGCTCGTGTTTCTTTTAAATCTTTGAACATAAAGTCTTTGCATTCTGTTGTCTCTGTTCTGGGCTGGTTTCTGGTAACTGACCTGCCTTGCTGTGGCTCAGTCCTACTAGTGCTGTGTGCTTGGCCCCGGCTTTGTGAGCCCTGCCTGTTGGGCCTGGGTTCTGTTTCTGTCCATCAGCGAAAGAGCACTGTCCTGCTCGGCAGGGCAGTTACTGGCAGCTCTTTAATTCTTGTGATGTCCCACTAGGGCAGTTTTAGCTGTAACCTATGGCCTTTTGGGGGCTTTCTGTGGGATCAGTGACATCTTCATTCTGCCGGTTGGCACTTGCACAGCCCCGTGTCAGCTCAGGTCACTTTCAGGTTTGTGGTGCCATGGAGGTGGTTCCCTCCTGGCCTGCGGTGCTCTCACCCTGCCTCTGTGCATGGTGCAGGTATAAGACCACTCAGGTTCCCTCATTCCACAGTCCCAGGTGTCACAGCTATGTGAGGCTGCCTGACGTGACCCTGAGCCCAGCAGGCAGTTCTGGCCTGGCATTTGTGCAGCTGGGGAGTTGCTGTGCTCCCTGAGCTCCCCGAAAGGAGCCTCCCCAGCCCACTTGTGACAAAGCCCCTCCTTCGATCAGTGAGGGTGGAGACCTAGGGCACCTCCTAAATGTCCTTCCTCCGGCACCATCACAGCAGCAGTTAAATCTTTGAGTGTAGCAGGGCACATCCAAACCATACCAACTTATTTCAGACTTTTAGAAATAAATATTAAGCTGGGTGTGGTGGTGCACACCTGTAAGCCCAGCACTAGGGAGGCTGAGGCAGGAGAATCACTGAGTTCGAGGCCATCCTGAAGTACATAGTGAGATCCTGTCTTTAAAAAAGAAAAGAAGATGCCACCCACCTTGCAAGCGGAAGGTCCTGAGTTCGATCCCCAGTACAAAAAATAAAATAAAAAAGAAAAGAGAAATAAATGTTAAGCTGGGTGTGGTGGTGCACACCTGTAAGCCCAGCACTAGGGAGGCTGAGGCAGGAGAATCACTGAGTTCGAGGCCATCCTGAAGTACATAGTGAGATCCTGTCTTTAAAAAAGAAAAGAAGATGCCACCCACCTTGCAAGCGGAAGGTCCTGAGTTCGATCCCCAGTACAAAAAATAAAATAAAAAAGAAAAGAGAAATAAATGTTAATAATATTTCATATTATATGTATATTTTATTTCTCGTGGTACTCTTAGGTATGCAGTGCTTTCCAGCAGGGATAGGACTGATGAGGGCCAGAGCAGCCTTAGTGTAGACATTTAGTAAAATCTGCCATTAGCTTCTGTTAGAACCAATGTTATAACTAGTGTTATGATGTTATGACTAGTGTGAACCTTTGAAGTAACTGTCCACTTCAATGGGGTGTGGTATAGTCTTAGGTGGAAGTCCACGTTGCCACCTAGGACAACATGAAATTGTCTTAGTGTTGGACTGAGGAGGGATGACTAGGAGGAGATCTTCCATGTGGAGGCAGGAGTGGAGGGTGGCCAGGCCCTCTCAGCGGGCGACGCTGTCACCTCAGGTCACCCTGGAGCCACCAGTGCTACTGTGTGGTTGAACTGACTGTCACTTTTCCCCTAACAGGCAGTGGTGGTGCCTCAGGGAGGCGGACAGCTGTGGATCTTCGGAGGGGAGTTTGCATCCCCCGATGGAGAGCAGTTCTACCACTACAAGGATCTCTGGGTCCTGCATTTGGCCACCAAGACCTGGGAGCAAGTCAGGTAAGTTTCTGGACAGAGGCCCGGTGAATGGAACTGGGCAGTGGGGGGAGGAACTTGAGGAAGCCTGAGCTTGGACAGCTGTGACTGCCAGGCTTCGTCAAAGCCATTGCCAGGACTGGCTGGGACCAGCAGTCCATTCAGACTGTCTCCTGTCCTGCACTCTCGCATGTCATTATCATATTTTAGTGTGGCTCCTCTGCTGGGCCAGCTGTTTGTCCCTGAGGCTGCTCTGGGCTGGGAGCTGAGCTGTTTAGTAGGAGGGAGTGCTGTGTCACATGGTGCAGAGGCGGGGAGCTGGGCAGAGCGGGACGGAAGCAGCCTCACACTCCTCTGTAGCTGGGCACAGCCGCCCCTGGTGCAGGATCACCCGTCAGATCCACGCTCTCAATGGCGTCTGAATAGGCAGAAGCTGCACACCTGTCAGAACACGGGCGGTCCCCTCGCTTGTTAAGAGCGCAGCCTGGTGGAGGGAGGGTTGAAGGAGACTTGTCGACTTCCTTCTCCTTGGGTGCAGCGGTCTTGTTGCCAGGGCTCTGCAAGCCACGGTCCCAGGGCTAGTTACACCATAAATTGAAGTCTCCTTGTGGTGGGGGGACAGTTGCATTGTGGAACCCAGTCGTGGGGTGCAGAGCGTTTCCCAGTCCCAGGACTTTGCACCAAGAGAGGAGTGGCTCTCTAGAGAATGTACTCAGTTATTCAACAGTGAGCTCTCTGGGGGCATCATGACCTCCCCCCTTGGGTTTAGGCCTGGAGCATCACAAAGAATCTGCCATGCTCGGAGAGGTGCACATCGCTTTCCGGTGCTAGCAGTCCTAAACCAGACTGGACCAGGGGAGTGTGGTATGTGGTTTACTGGGTTCCTGAGTTCTGTTTCCCTTTCTCATGCATGTATTGGGAGAGACCCTTACCTTGGTAGGCACAGCAGTCGGGAAGTGATATTCATATTAAAAGTGACTTTTACTGTGTATACTTTGAAACTCAGTCCCTTTTCCTGTAATTTAAAGGTACCCAGAGCACATGATCTTAGCCCCTTTTGCTTTGCTTTAATTATTCCTTTCAAAACCCAGTTATTACTTATTTGCTTGTTAGTCCCTTTTTGGCAAACAATCTTTGTGCTTTTATGTATTTTGTCATGTCCAGCAGCTTTTTTCCATAACCGACTGGTGAGGCACAGGACTTGGCTGCATGAGAAGCTTCACGTGGCCCTGTAGCTTCTCCCAAGCCAGTGCTGGCCATGCATTTTGGAGTGGCCTTGCTGCAGTGTGGCTCACAGGCACTTGTGGCATGAGAGCTTCCTCCTGAGCTCAGGCTTTGTGGCTTCAGTAGCATGTGTCCAAAGTGTCTCTCCCAAGGTTGCATGGTCTGTTGAGATGTGGTCACTTAGGGAGTATCCCTGTCTGCTTTCTCTCCAGTGGCCACAGAAGGTAGCCCTCTTACCCCAGGGCACTCAGCTGTGGGCGGGGATGTGGGCAAATTGAACTCCCAGGACTTTGCAGGCAGCTGGCCCAACACATTCATGACGGCTCATAACCACCGTGGCTAGGTTCCTCGGCTTAGTTCTGATGTTTTCTCACACTGAACATTGTCTCTAAGAGACTCATCTCTGTTGCACATAGCCGTCGTTGTCGAGGACCATTCCCTCAAATAACTGTGTCCCTGTGCATGTGCCCCAGGGGGCTCTGGGAAGCTACGAATGGCTGAAATTCTTAGAGTACATTGCCATCCACATTCTCTCTGTGTCTCACGGGGGACAGGGGTATGCACTGTTGTGTCTGTCTGGCAGTAGAAGGAGGCATGGGTGTGTGTGTAGCTTCCCCCAGCCTGCACGTGATTTGGCATCCTAGGAGATTCCTCGTGCTCCATCAGACCCCTCAGGCGTTTCCTGAACTTTACTCTCCCCATGCCAGTAGTGGCTTTGTACAGTGCTTGGCACCAGGGGGACACTTGGTGGTGCCATGACAGTTACCTGCCATTTTAATGTTTCCACATGAGAGGAGAATTCATAGCATTACAACTGTGCAGAAGCCCAGGCCTCAGTAAATTTTTTTTGGTGTGGGTTGTTTTTGGGGGGTTTTTTTGGTACCAGGGATTGAACTCAGGACCTTGTGCTTATGAGGCAGGCGGCAGAACCACTGAGCTAAATCCCCGGCCCTCTTCTTGGTTTTTTGAGACAGGGTTTCGCTTTGTAGGTCAGGCTGGCCTCAAACTCACTAGGAATTACAGGTGTGCACCACCACACCTGGCTACTAGTACAGCTATTTCAAAACCGTGTCCATGTCAGAATCAGTGTCCTAAAGAAGAAGAATCATTAGCAGAATGATCCGGAGTTATTTTCCGACCCTGCAGCTGAATTCTCGTGATGCCCACTAACAGCCTCTCTGGGATCCCCATGTGTGAAGGGCCGTGAGCAGGAGCGCGAGCATCCACCCTGTCTGCTGTGAGCTGGGGCCAAGCTGTGAAGGTCTCTGGGCTCCCCGAAGCAGCATTACTGATGAGGAGCAGCAACTCTGGTGAAGCCTGACCTGGTGGGAGGCTGCTGTGTGGCCTCCCTGCTGGGCACCTGTTAACCGTGGCCATTAGGATGTGTCGTGTGGACAGAGCAGCGACTGTGTGGCTGGTGCGTAGAAAAGCAGGGTGAGGCTGGGGGTGTGAACTTGAAAACACCGATGGGCCGAGGGGTCAGTGTTCGATGATGGATTCTGTAGGTGCTGAGACCATGCTTTGTATGGTGTCCTGTAGTGTCTTCGTCCGTGGTTGAGCAACTCTGCTGCAGGCTGTCTTATGGGCTTCTTGACTTGTGGGTCTTGATTTTCTCATCTGTGAGATGGGAACAGGATAATAACTGCATCGTGAGGCTGTTGTGATGAATAAATGCACACAAAAGGACCATACCCGTCATGGAACGAACACTTCACTATGATGCTTCCACCATCAATAGCAGGAGTTAAAATGAATCAGGGACCTGGTTGCATAGGCTGCCTGAATTTGAGAGACTTTGCTACTGATGATGCCATGCGCTGTGGTTGGGTTCCCCAGATTTTTACTAAGCCCCTTGTCTGCGGTGGGCATGGTGCTTGGGAAAGTGGGCTGAACCCCAAGGCTGCTCTGAAAGGAAAAGGGTGTGTGACTGCGCTGACTGGTGCTTTCCACCCTGAGGGTAAGACACTTGACTTGGAGATTGTCCCTTTGTGCTGTGGATGTCTCGGGCTGCCTGGTGTGGCAGCGGTCATATACTCTGTACTTGTGTGAGGTCTGACCTTTCCATTGAGCATTTGTGTGCTGAGTGTACAACTGTTTGCACCCTAAGCCTGTGGAGACATTTGAGACATAGATAATTTGTGCGAATGTCACCCTAGCAGCCTGTGGAGGGCCTGGGTGGCGCTGGCTGGCATCGTGCCCTGTGGGAGTGGCATTCTGTGCACAGCCCAGATGAGCTGAAAGCTCCTGTGCCCACAACGTTTACATATGATACCTGTGCTTTTTGTGCCATATATAGACTTCTGGCTAAGGGACATGCTGATTTTTAAAGACTACGTTTAGGACCGATGTCAGTTGAGAGATTCGAATATAAATGAGCTCTTTTTTTGTGGTGGCTTTATTTTTCTAAAGGAAGATGTAGAACCTTTTTATAGGAATATTTTTTCCCCTTTTTAGTACCTAACAGTGGGCTCAAAAACTAAGTGGAACCTGTTGTATCTGATCTGATTTGGGCAGGGCATGAGACAGCGGCGGGATTCCTATACAGGAAGCCACCAGAGGCATGGGCCTGTGCCTCCACGCCTCTTAGGGTCACAGGTGACCACTGGCCAACAGCCTTGGCCTCCGTTGCTGGACTGACCTGGAGGCACCTGGGGTCTCCTCTGCCTGTCTTGGAATAGAGTGAAGGCACTGGTGAGTTGTTCATAGAGAGCTCTTCCCCAGATTGTATGAAGTAATGCATGGTACCTGGGTACTGATTAATTGTTTTTAAGAGGTGTGACAACTAGCAAAAATGACAAGTACCAAACAAATCATTCTGGCTGGAAAGGGTAATGTCACAAGGCAGCTGACATTGACCCTTGTCAATTTAAGTTTGCAGAACCAAACAAAAGTACCAGAACAAAACTTTCCATCAAAATGCATTGAAACCCAAATTCAGCAAGTTCCAAAGTGGTACCAAGATGTGACTGTGTATTAAAATTCCTTGGAGGGCCAGGGATTTAGCTCAGTGGTTCTGCCGCCTGCCTCGCAAGTCCAAGGTCCTGAGTTCGATCCCCAGTACTCAAAAAATAAAAAAATAAAAAAAATTCCTTGGAGAGGGTGCTGACCCCTTGCCCAGCATGCTTGGGTCTCCTTCCCAGTCTGGTGCTCACAGGCTCTGTGCCTTGCTGGGGGCCGTTGGCTGTTCTCTTCACCCACCCTGGACATGGCCTCTCGCTGCAAGGGCTGTTCTCATCGTGCAGGCACACAGCTGGCGCCTGCGAGGGCTGATCCAGGTGGCCCCAGAGCTCCAGCGAGCCCGCAGGTGTCACTGTGGCATGCCCCAGACCCTCTCTTCTGAACCTTGTTATGTTTAGTATTTCTGTCATGAATTTTGGCAATAAAATATGTGTAGTAATTTGTGAGTGCTACAAAGCTAGGAAAGAAACCAAGTAAACTGGTTGATAGATTTGGCATCCAGAATCATCTTCAGGGACCTGATCTGGCAAGATGGGATTTACGTAGAATGTTTCCCTGTAGGATGCATGTAAGTACAGAGTGAACAACGCTGAAAAGCTGTCTGTCCTTGTGAATAGCATGATTTAGTGAATTGTGACCCATGAGGCATCAGCATATGATAAAGCCATCCAAATTCCTATTTCTTTTTTTTTCCCCCAGTACCGGGAATTGAACTCAGGTCCTTGCGCCTGCAAGGCAGGCGGTGGAACCACTAAGCTAAATCCCCAGCCCTCAGAATTCCTATTTCTGAAGGCGGGTTCTAGATAGTATTGGTCCCTTCTGATTGATTGCCTTCCGTGGGCTTTTGGATGACACTAGAGGGTCATTGCCGTGGAGGGGGGCGGGGAGGAGCTGGCTGCACTCACTGCAGGTCGGGGAGCTCAGGTCCTGGGCAGCATCCTGGTGCGTGCGGCGCAGCACATGGAGGACCTGGAGCGCTTCAGCACCCTACCAGTTCTGGGATTCCGTGCACTGATATGTTTGTTAGGGCCCTTGGCCTTTGTGAGGTTTTATGTAAAACCCTGTACATGGGTTTTGAGGAACTCTGTGCAGCATACACCAGAATAAATGAAGGAACAATGAGTTATATAAACTGTGATCCTGACCGTGACACCCGTTTGCGGGCTGGAGCTGGTGGTGTTGAGGGTGGGAGCCCAGAAGTGCAGAGGGCCCTAGGCGCCAATCCCCAGGGAGTTGGGGCTGGGCACGGGGCACTTTGCTGGCCCGGTGGTTGGTGATTCTGGAGCCCCTGGGCCCAGGGCATCCAGCACAGGCTGGAGATGCAGCTGCAGCCTCCCAGGCACCCATGTGTGCGGCATGTGCAGCCTCCCTCGCACCGCTCTGGTCACGTGGGTGACACATGCTCACTGGGAGAGCCATACAGGACCCCAGTTTAGAATCTCAGTAGTGGTACATTTTATAACCTGCAATTTCAGTTGCTATTTATTTATTATTTTTTCTGGTACTGGGGATCGAACTCGGTCCTTGCGCTTGCGCAGCAGGCAGCAAAACCACTGAGCTAAATCCCCAGCCCTCAGTTGCTATTTAATGAACACTCTTCTGTGTTCTTGTGTTTTTTTAAGACAGGGTCTGTCTTTGTAGTACAGGCTGCCCTTGAAGTCTTGGCTGTCCTCCTGCCTCAGAGGCCTCCTGAGTGCTGGGATTACAGATGTGCGCCACCATGGCTAGCTGTGATGCCACATATCTTTTTTTATTATTTTTTCTGGTACTGGGGATCGAACTCGGGTCCTTGCGTTTGCGAGTCAGGCAGCAGAACCACCGAGCTAAATCCCCGGCCAATGCCAAATATCTTAAGGAACCTAATTTGTTAAAATATTTGTCCAATTGATAGACAAAAAAATGGTATCTCTATTTTGATTTGCAACTCTTTGATTACTGGAAAGATTGATTATGTTATAGTTCACATTATTTCCCTATATTCCAGAGGTTGTAAGTTTACTTTTTTGTGTTTTTTGAGACAGGATCTCTTTGTAGTGCAGCCTGGCCTTGAACTCACTCTGTAGCCCAGGCTGGGCTCAAACTCAGGGCAAGCCTCCTGCATCAGCCTCCCCAGTGCCAGGGTGATAGGCATGTACCACCATGCCCAGCTTTCTTTTTCGTGTTTTTTTACTGTCATATTTTTATGTCCATTGTATTGATATATAATTATAATAAAATTCAATAAAATGTATATCTTTTCTTTGCATTTTTTTTTTTTTTGGTATTGAGGATCAAACTCCGGTCCTTGTGCTTGCACAGCAGGCAGTGAAACCACTGAGCTAAATCCCCAACCCTAAAATGTATATCTTTTGGAGTGCAGCTAGGTGAGTTTCAACAGATACATCACACCAGCACAGTGCAGTTGGCAGAACATTTCCATCACCCCAGAGAATTCCCTCCTGCCCTCTGCCCTCTGCCCTCCTGCCTTCCCAGCCCTGGGCCCAGGCCTCTGTGGTCAGCCCCGCCTCTTCTTCCCCCAAAAGTCTCCTTCCTGTGAATGCGGCTTCTGATTGGCTGGTGTGTCTGAGGCCCACCTTGTGCTCGGGTCGGGCAGCGGCCAAGTGCCTTTTGTTGTTGAGGTTCACTGTTGTTTGTGTGCCATTTGTCCACTGGAGTGGGTTGGCTGTCCCTGGTGTTTTGTTTTGGGGATATTGTTCGCAGTACTGGGGATTGAACCCCACATAGCTCAGTATGCCACAGCTCTTTTTATTTTATTTTATTTTGAGACAGGGTCTCCTGGACTGGCCTCGAACACATTGTCATCCTCCTGTGTGAGCAGCTGGGATGACTGGCATGCATCACCGTGCCGGGCTGCTGCTGGCTTTTGACAGTTAGGCCTAAACCCCCCAGGAAGCGTGCGTGCAGATGTTGGCGTGAACTGTGTTGTTTTTCCTGAGTGAGTGTCTTCTGTAGGCGGCAGGTGGCATGTTTAGTTGTTTCCTCCTGTGAGAAGTTGAGCATGGCCGGACCGTGTCTGTCCCCAACAGCACGCCCGCTGGTGAGTGTGACCGGACTCCTCTGGTTCCAGTTTGTGTTCTCCGCCACTAATGATATTGAGCTTTTTCTCGTGTTTTTGTTTTTTTTGGTTTTTTTGGTACTGGGGATCGAACTCGGGTCCTTGCGCTTGCGCAGCAGGCAGTGAAACCACTGAGCTAAATCCCTGGCCCTTTCTCGTGTTTTTATTGGCCATCTTCATTTACTCCTCTTTCTTCCACTTTTATATCTTGTGAACTTTCTGTTCACCTTTGTTACTCATGCTTTTACTGAGTCACTTATCTTACTGTGAAGATAAAATCCCACATGCATTCTGGGTACAAACCATTTGCCAGTTGTATGTGTGGAAGCAACTCTCCTAATCTGTTGCTCCCTGTGCTGTTTTTAGCAGGCTCTTTTAAAGTTCCTTGTTTGATGGAATGCAGTTTACTGTGCTCAACCTAAGAAAGCTGTACTCCAAGGTCATAGAGAGCTTCTCTTGTTTCAGTCTAGTAGTTTTATAGTAGGTAGCTAGACCAGCAGGGTAGTTGCGGTAGCTGTGGATCAGATTAAATGATATTCAGTAAATTCCTAGAAAACAAAAATCAGTGTTTGAAAAGAAAAACCAACCAGAAATTAAGTGACTTCACGGTTTTTTCCCCTTAATTTTAGATCAGCGGGAGGTCCTTCAAGTCGGAGTGGACATCGGATGGTGGCCTGGAAGAGACAGCTAATCCTTTTCGGTGGCTTCCATGAGAGTGCAAGGTTGGTGCCAACAGCAGATACGTCTTTCTTCCTGGGAGTGCTGTGGAGGACGTTCTGGAAGACCCCTCTGCATGCACATGAGGAGAGGGACCAGCCCAGTACCTTCCTCTTTTGAACTTAAGAGTTTTTAATCAAATCAAGTTTTACAATGGCTTTTAACTTGAAACCGTTTTGAAACCAGAACTTTTTTCAAAACCTTGTTTAAAATTGTTTAGGAAGTATTTCACACATACAGAAAAATGGACTACTACTACACACATTGGCACATCGAGTTAAATTTATTTGAGTTAATACCAACTGTGAGTTGTCCTTGAAGCCATTGCTGCTTCTCTTACATGAAGGATAAAGTTTCTTTACTGGAAATCTGCAGCATAAAGCCTGAGGAAGGAGTGGAATGTAGCAAGCCTTCTAGAAGCTGGGATCCTTTGCGTCCCCAGGCTGTTACTAGGTGTCCCCCCGGAGAGGACACATGGGTCTGAGTGGGAGCTGTGGCTTGAGTTGCTCCCTAGCTCTTTGTGTGGGAAGCAGCAGCCCTGGCACAGCCTGGCTGCTGCTCCTGCATCTCGGCCCTTGCTGCACCATGTGGAGGGTGCAGAGCACAGAGGCCAGCCCCATGCCAACTTTCAGGCAGCAGCCATGGTTGCACACGTGCTTCCGAGCCTGGGCTGGAGCCCTCAGATGGGGTGTGAGAAGGAGTAGTTGTCTCTGACCAGGGAGTCCTTTGTCTGCACACCGGGAGAGTGGTGTCTTGTTCTGTGACAGTCACCCTATGATAGCAAATCTCCCCATTCTTGCCCTGGGTCCTCATTGCATGCTGACTGACCCTCTGGTACCTGCGTCCCAGGTCATTGAGCAGGGCAGGGCGACAGGGCCTCTGGACCACCTCAGGCAGTGCCTCTTGGGTCGCTGGGGTTGGGGATACAAAGGGTGGTCCTCCGGCCTTCAGTTTTGTGAGGCTGCTCTGCTCCGTTCCCTCACTGTCCTTTTCTCGCTGTCCTGTCCATGGTCCCACAGTTCTTCCCAAGCGCTCAACATCTCCATTCTCATGGTTCAGTTCCCCTGCACAGAGCAACCTAATTTAATCATTTGGGAGATTGTGATCTTGCCAATAAGGCAGGGAAATACAGGACGACTTTTAGAATAAATTACTCTGCTTTTGTGGGCTGGCATTATTTCTAGTTTTTAAATGAAACGCCCCTCTGCAGCTTTTCACATGAGTTTAAACTGATAACAGTGAGAACGCAGGCTCACCCTTAATCAGTGTTCCTGGTAGCGGCCCTGCCTTTCCCCAGTGCTGTCACAGTTGATGACTTGTGTTACTCTATTCCAACCAGGGACTATGTCTACTACAGTGATGTGTACACCTTCAGCCTGGACACGTTCACGTGGAGCAAGCTGTGCCCAGTGGGGCCTGGGCCCACACCCCGGTCTGGCTGCCAGATGTCTGTCACCCCCCAGGGCAGCATAGTCATCTACGGGGGCTACTCAAAGCAGGTGAGAGCTGGTGTGCAAGGGGAAGAAAGGAGGGCACTTTGGCTGCTGCTTTTCAGTTTCAGCAGAAGTGGGTGCTTCCAAGTGAGATGGATGACAGACACACTAGGAATATAAACAGTTCGCCCTGAATTATAAGTGGACAGAGGTAGTGTCAGTTTGTTCGTCTTGAAACATAATAACATGTTTCTCACGCCTGATTAAGCTCTAGTCCATGTCCCCTCAGAATACTGCAAGGTGACCGTTCCGTATTTTGAGGTCTCTCTTCACAGCCTGTGAAACTCCAGCGCGTGCCCCTCCATTGCAGACTGTGCGTGGCTCAGCTGTCCTTCCTTCTGGCCGTGGACTTGTGTTTACATCTGTACACATGCGCAGGAGCCTCCCTCCCTGGCCACCACTCCTCACGCAGAATTCCTCTTGTCCACCCCTCATCAGCACTTTGCCAGCCAGGACACAGTGGACCCGACATAGATGGACAGCATCTGTAGAGTTTGTTTAGTTTTTGCAGACCTTGTGCTTGTGAGCCAGGTGCGGTGCCACTGAGCTAAATCCCCAGCCCTTTTTAAAGTCTTGTGTTTCGAAACTTCTCAAACACATAGCTAACTTGAAGGGATTTGTAGTGAACACTCGCCTGCCCCACCCAGACGCTGCTGTCCTGTTTCACCGTCATGGTTTGATCTTGTGTCTGTGCGTGCATCTGTGCCCCATCCTGTCAGTCAGCCACGGTGTCATGGGAGAAGAGTGTGGAGCTCAGCCCCTGAATGCTCGAGTGTTGTCTGCGGAGGTCCCCCCAGTGCAGTGTGCACCCTTTATGTGTACACAGCCAGCTGCGCAGATGTGTGTGTGCTGTGCCCACCCTCATCCTGCTGGCCTCTCCTGTGCGGTCCCTGCCTGCATACAGAGGCGAGCACTGTCTGACCCTTCCCATCATGTCCTGGAACTTCAAGTCCCATCTGTGAGCACACTGCGGTCTGTCTCAGTTCTGCTGATGGCTCCTGTGCTGTTCCAGGCTCACTAGCAGGAGCAAGGCTGCACAGGGACCTCTCGTGCGCTAGTGGGTACAGGCTTCCGAGCACCAGCACCAGCACTAGACATCGACGTGTTCAGCTCTGCCTTTGTGTCCACGTCTGATGCTGTCAGTGTTTTTCTTTTTAGCTATTCTGATAAATGCGTGGTTCTCTGGACAGTTTGAACTCACATTTCTCTTCCGGCAGCTGATGTTGTGTGCTTCTTGCCTGCTTATTGGTCACTTGTGTGTCTCCCCTGAAGCTCGTGTCCGTGTCTCCTGCTGTCTCTGACCAGGAGTTGCAGGAGTGCACAGCCTCCTGGGTTCCATCCTTCCCATGTGTGCTTCCAGCAAGTGCTTGTTGGAGAACAGAAGCTTTGTTTGGATAGAGGCTCATTATGTTTTTTCTCTCTGTGACCTACTGAAGGTTCCCTCTTACATTTCCCCCGAATGTGATACGGTGTCCGCTTTTACATTGAGTTTTGTGATGCCCCGTGGACCACACCTTTGTGTGGCCCATGCCCCGAGACAGATGTGTGCTTGTTGCGGCACCGTGTTCAAAAGACTTTCGCACTGGATGCCTTAGGACCTGTGCTGACAATCCAGTGACTGGGAGTGAAGGCCTGATTCTGAGTGCCCTGTCCTCTTCTGACATGTGTGCTGGGCTCGTCTGTGCAGAGTGCCTTGGAGTTAGGCTGTGAAGTCGTCCAGCCTTGGTGGTCTTTCAGACTTGTTGTGGCTATTCTAGGTGCTTTGCATTTCCATTTAAATTTTAACATCAGCTGGTCCATTTCTTTAAAAAAAAATAAAAAGTCTCCTTCCCTGCCCCCTGCCTCCTGCTAGAAATGCTTGAGCCCTGCCTCGAGTCTGGAGATAAATTTGAAGTCTGACATCTTTGAGTCTTCTAGTCCAAAAATCCTAGTGAGAGCTAGCTCTGTGCTCCCTGGATAGGAATTTGACATCTTTAAAGATTCATACGGATTCTGTTTACTTTCTAGCACAATTGAATCTGTCCTTGAAGACTTATGTAACTGCATGAATTTAAAGCTGCTCTGACCTGCATTACTAGAAGTAATTTGTGGCACAGATAACGCAGAATGAAAGGATAATAATGCCACTTTTGTGTTCCCCTGCAGAGACAAAGAGATTAAGTTTCTGGGGAAGCCCCAACCCTTGAGAGAAGGGAATGGGCTCTGCATGGCAGAGTTGGAAGGGTGTCGGGGAAGCCCTGTGGGCAGGTCAGCCCTGTTTGGGAGCCGCTGCAGCCACTGGCCTGAGTGCAGAGTGCCCCTCTGGCCTCAGTCCACCTGTGTCGTCCAGAATGCTGGGAGGCTGAGGCAGGAGGACCACAAGTTCGGCCCAGCCTGGGCAGCTTAGTGAGACCCTGCCTGAAAATTTAGAAGGGGGCCGGGTGGTGGAGATGTAGCTCAGTGTGAAGGCCGTGAGTTCAGTGCCTAGTTCTGTTTAAAAAAAGGGGGGGGGGTGGCGGCAGGGATTTAGCTCAGTGGTTTCGGCACCTGCTGCACAAGCGCAAGGCAAGGACCCAAGTTCAATCCCCAGTACCAAAAAAAAAGGTGCAATGAAAAATCTCCTTGAGTCTGTTGACTCTGGGTAGAAAATGTTGCTGTCAGCAAAACACAGGACAGTTAATGTAGGCAGGTGCAGGTGCACGGGACGCTGCCATGTTTAGCTATGACTTGAGAGGGGATATTGCTGAATTCCTTCAGCAGACAAGGCCTCTGGTTGTGGATTCACTTCTTAGTCATGCTGAGCCCTTGTGTGTGGAAAAAAGGTGCGGAAGTCATTATAACTTCCTCTATGCTAAATTCCCACAAAAAGAGACGTCAGGGTGCAACTTGGTGCAGCACTTGCCCAGCATGCATGAGGCCCTGGTTTCCATTCCCAGCACTGCAGAGAAGAGGAAAAGCCACTGAACTTAGTAGCTATGTATTATGTGCAGAAATGGCATCCCCTGAATGGCACAGATGTTTCCAGAAGGAGAACAAAAGTGTGTGCCCCATTTCCCTTCTGTGAGGTTGGAGCCGCTGCTCACACATGGCTAAAGTTGGGCCTCCTTGGCTTTGTGTACTTGGGCCCAGGCCGACATAAAATGTCTGTGGACAGTTGGATTGCTTATTTACTTGTTCAAAAGCAAAATAGTTTTCCCCCTTCCAGTGACCAGAGTGACAAGAACTCCACTTGCACCAGAGCCCAGGACTGGGTTTGTGACACTGCACTCCAGCATGTGAAGCCAGGGCCACCTTGGAACCACGGGGAACCTCAGATAACTTATAGCACCACGGGTATAGACATGCTTGCCAGGGCAACACAAAGCCTGCCTTGCCGGGGTGTGAGTGTCACGGGAGAGGACAGACAGATGGATGGCATGAGCAGCAGCGCTTCACCCATAGTGCAGCGTGCTCTCAGGAGCCACACTGAGCAACTGCATAAACAGCAAGAGGAGGCAGTCTGCCTTTCAGCGGAAGCTCCAGCCCCAGGTGGCACACAGCATCCCCTCCTGTGGCCCGACTGGGCACATGGTGTCCTGGAGAGCACAGGATGGAGAGCAGGCAGATCGTGACTTCCCAGGCAAGAACTGACCGGCAGCTCAGTCAGGTGACCAAGGCCATCAGAGGGACGGGTTGCAGTGATAGTGGGGAGCCTGGGGCGAAGTGGGGAGAAGCACCAGGAAGGCAGAGGTCTGGAATCCCAGCAGCCTCCACCCTGATCTCTCCAGGGGGAGCGGCAGGCAGACCAGGTGAGGGCACCTGGACAGCGCACTAGACACGGTCGCCAGGACTAGGGGCGTCTGAGCAGCTGTCCCGGCCCAGAGGAGCCCCAGGAGACAAGGTGGCTGTTGTATGGGGTCCTGGATGGGTCCTGGGGCAGAAAGGGACACAAAGGAACCACAGGGACAGCAGTTACCAGTTGCTGATTGGTGCTGCTTCATCAAGTGCAGCATGCAGCAAGCCCACAGGAGACAGGAGCGGGTGGGGTGTGGGGTGCAGGAGCTCTGTACTACTTCTCAGCTTTTCTGAAAATGCAGTCTCTGCAGTCAAAAGTGCACCAAGGACGGGGAATTCAGCACAGATACATACCAGGAAGAAGGCAGGGTGAGCTAGAGCCCTCTTCTGAGTGCGCATCTCTCAGCAGCTGACCAGGCCCTGTAGTAATTGGCTTGCGGGGGAGTGAGGCCACGGGAGCCGAGGCTGAGGGTCGAGACAGTGCTTGGTGGTTTTGTGCTGTTGGCACTGGTTTCCACAGAGCGCCGGCACTGTCCGAAGGTGGTGGTGTTGCAGTACGAAGGAGGTGGGCCGAGGTGTGCAGTGGCGTGTCATCTGCAGATCCCGTTTACATTGTGCCAGCTGGCTGTGGGAGCCTTAGGACACCGACACTGCTCCTGTGACCGGTCTGCAGAGAGATGGGCTTTCACAGTCACGTGTCTGTCGGCAGTGGCAGGGCTGTAGGACTAAGGCTCACTTTATCCTGAGCGCTCCCACCCAAGTGTACCCCAGCCCGGGGGCTACCATGGCTGTCGTCAGTGCCACCGAGTGGTTCTCACCAACCTTTTCCTTTCACAGAGAGTCAAGAAGGATGTGGACAGAGGCAGCCAGCATTCCGATATGTTTCTGCTGAAGCACGAGGAAGGGGGCGAAGGTACTGCGCTGGCCGCAAGGACTGGCTGCCTGGCTGTGGGCAGAGGGCGGCAGGGAAGCGCATGCTCGCCTCCTGGGAAATGGGGCTGGCAGGGGCCCCTGCACGGTGCTCAGAGCTGGGCCCGGCCCAGGTGCCTGTCTGTGAACGTGGCCTTAGTGTATCTCTGCACTCTGCAGCTCAGGTCACCTTGCACACTTGATGGTGACACAGCTCATGCTCCTGGGTGAGGTGATCATGGCAGGCCCTTCCGTGCACATGGTCTCAGGGCCCACAGGTGCGGAAGGAAGCTGGGGCTGAGAGTAGGCCAGAGTGAGAAGGGAGGAGGGGGCTTCTTCTTTGCAGTCATTTCTGGAGCTTTTAAAGAAGTCCTGTTGGCTTGGCTTGTTTGTTTGATTGATTGATTGATTGATTTAGTTTGGTGCCGGGGATCAAACTCCGGTCCTTGCGCTTGCGCAGCAGGCAGCAAAACCGCTGAACTGAATCCCCAGTCCCCCTTTTTATTTTCAATTTTGAGATAGAGTGTCAGTAAATTGTCCTGGCTGGGCTTGAGCTTGTGATCCTCCTGCCTCAGCTTCCCACAGTGCTGAGATCACAGGTGTGCCCTTCTGTGTCTGGTAAAATCTTTTCTTTGTTCTGTAAGTGGTGGGAAGACTTTCCCCTGTACTTCACATCAGGCCACATAAATCATTGATCTGTGAGAAAGAGCAGAGAGTACATCTTGCCAGCAGGGTCTAGCATGGGTCTAGATCTGGCTTGGCATGAAATAACCCTGGAGGGGAGGATGTGACTCCACGAGAGGTGCCACACACACACACACACACACACACACACACACACACACACACACACACACACACACACACACACACACACACACACACACACCCCCCACCACCACCCACCCACCCACCCTTCCTCATAGTCTGCGTGTGAGTCCTTCAGCCTGGGGTCCTCCTGCAGCTGCAGCCTCCTGTGGTCTTCCCCACCACCTTGCAGGTGCTGCTTCCCATGGCCCCAGTGCCAGTGCCTGGGTAGGGTCGCTCATGCAGCTGGGCCTCAGGAGGAGGGTGAGCTCAAGGGAGTGTAAAACTGTGACTCCTTTGTTTCTCTGCAGAGGGAGCAAAAGGAGGCACATGGGGCATTTCTGCCTGCAGTCTCCTCATCTGGGGGTCTTCAGGGACATCTGGCGTGTCCTTGTCTAGCTCTCGTGTCCCCTATGCTTCCTTACCTGTCTCCTTGGTCTCCTTCAACAGGCAAATGGGTGTGGACCCGGATCAGCCCTTCAGGGGTCAAGCCCTCGCCAAGGTCTGGCTTTTCAGTGGCCATGGCCCCCAATCATCAGACACTGCTCTTTGGGGGTGTCTGTGACAAGGAAGAGGAAGAGAGCCTGGAGGGCGTGTTCTTCAATGACCTGTACTTCTTTGATGCCACCAGGAACCGCTGGTTCAAAGGACAGCTGAAGGTGGGTTCAGAGAGTACCGGGTGCCCACCCAGAGCCCGGCTCTGGGGTCTGTGTCCCCATTTCCTTCTCCCCAGTGAGGTGTCCATGCGTGCTCCCGCACGGGAGTCTTCCTGCTTCTGTGTGTTGTCCAAGTGACAGCTTGGGCCCCTCTGTCTGGAGCCCCTCAGCCCATCCTAGTACCCGCTGACAATGCTCGGTGGTCTCTGACCAGGATGGGGGCGTCTGCTTAAGGCTGTGTTGTGGCCCGAGCTTGTCCCAGGTTTCCCGTCAGGCAGCTGCTACCCAGGACCTGCCCAGCACAGGCAGAACAGGGGGTGTCAGTCCCAGGAGGGGATCCCATTCAGCCTCAGGGTCTGCATGAGTTGGGTCAGCTGGCTCTGGGCACGCCCTCTGCACAGGGCTGCTCAGACTCAGGCCCTGTCACAGGGTCTTGAAGCCAGTGTGGGCATAAGGTGTCAGTCACGCAGGGTCTGCCACCAGAGGCCGTGCAGGCGTCTCTGCGGCTCTCCAGAGCACTGAGCCCAGATGAAGGGTGGTAGTACTGTTCTCAAACAGCTTGGTGCTTCTCAAGAGGATGGGGGACCTGAAGGCTTTCTTGTGAGGTTGGTTGTGTCCCAGGTACAGAGTAGAGCTTGGTGTCTAGAGTGTGCATCTGACGTGGGCAGACCTGGAGGTGGTGGTTGGAATGTTTGAATATAATGTGGCAAATGTCATCTTGGGAGAATGCTGTTCTGTGAGAAACCATGGAGGCAGCAGAGCATACCTAACCATGCCAGGGAGACGGGACAGAGGTGGGGGACAGTGGTCCTGAGGAGGACGCGGGCGGGAGAGCTCCTGGGAGGCGTGTGGGGGTGGAGGGCCCTGCCTGGGGGCTGTGCTGTGGGTCAGCCTGTTCCGCTGGTCTGCTCTGTCCTTGGCAGAGGGTAGGGTCCAGGAGGTGCTGGCTTTGTGGCCTTTTAGGGAGAATCGGGTTCCCCAGAAGTGAGGAGCCACCATGCATTGTGGGCCTCAGCTGGGCCTCGTCCTGCCACATCTCCCATGTGAGGACCGGGGGTCCCCAGCCCACACTGAGGAGGCTGGCAGGGACCTGCTCCTGTCCTGCAGACCCACAGTGGCCCTTGGGGTGGCCCCAGGCCCGGCTCTGTTCTTCAGCCTGGGCTCTGAGCTCCTCTTCTGTTAACAGGGCCCCAAGTCAGAGAAGAAGAGACGGAGGCGGGCCAGGGAAGAGGAGCACACAAGTGCCGACGGGCAGGAGCACGGGGCCGCGGGTGCCCCAGAGCCCCTGGAGGTGGTCAGAGAGGTGGTGACCGAGGACGGGACTGTGGTTACCATTAAGCAAGTGCTCAGGGCCCCAGGCCCGGCGGGGGCGGCCCCATCTGAGGATGAGGACAGCGCTTTGGAGTCCAGTGGCCCCAGGGTCGAGCCGTGCCCACGCTCCAGTGCCATGGTGGCTGTCAAGCATGGGCTGCTCTTCGTCTACGGGGGAATGTTTGAAGCTGGCGACCGCCAGGTGACGCTCAGTGACCTGTACTGCCTTGACCTACACAGGATGGAGGAGTGGAAGGCCTTGGTGGAGGTGGACCCGAGTAAGCATGCTGCCTGGTCTCCCCTCATCTGCCAGTGAGCCTCCGGGGTCTGCTCTGCCTCCGGGCCACTTTCTGAAAGGCAGGACCTGGGTGTGGAGAGGGCCTGGTGATGGCCCAGGACCCCGGCCCCTGGGTAGGACTTGCTGCACATGTGGCCGTGCCTCCCTGACCAGAGACCAGGCAGGGCTCGCACTCCTGGGGCCCTGGCGTGCAGCCTGTGGCCAGCCTAGCTCCTCTTTTTTTAAATTTGTTTTTGAGACTGGCTCTCACTATGTAGTTCAGGCCATCCTTGAACTTACCATGTAGCCCAGGCTGGCCTCAAACTTGCGGCAGTCCTCCTGGCTCAGCTCTTGAATGCTGAGCTCGCAGGTGTGCGGCGCCACGCAGGGCCTAGCTTCTCTCTGACCCAAACTCTGCCTCTGCTCTCTGAGCCCTCACACTCATTTACCCCATTGTGCCGCTGGACTCAAGCTGTTACTCGTTTCTGTAAAGCCTAGAAGCAGAACATGCACGTTTAGGAAGAGGCTCTTCTGAGAACCACAGCCAGTCACTGGGCTGGAGCAGGCGCAGGAGGAAGCGGCCTCCAGTGAGCTCCGTGGGAGCAGCTGTGTTCCTCCTGCCTGGGCCTCACCCCGTCTTGGCTCTGAAGAGACCCAGTCTGGTTTCTTACTTGTCCCAGGTGTGGGGCAGAGAAGTTAGGGCTCAAACCCCAGTCAGAGTGGGAAGCGGGGTCCTCTGTCCGCGGGCTCCCTGTCCCCGTGCGGAGGTGATGATCTGTGTGTCCATTTTGTCTTGGAAGAGACCCAGGAGTGGTTGGAGGAGACGGACTCAGACGAGGACAGTGGCTCGGCCGAGGGTGCAGAGCGGGGAGATGAGGACACGGACAGCGAGGAGGAGGAGGAGGAGGAGGAGGAGGAGGAGGAGGAAGGTGAGTTGTCAGAACTTGAATGTATTGTGAATGTGCGTTCTGAGCAGATGGCGGTTCCTGCTGTGCTGTGCTGCACTGTGCTGTGGGCGGCAACACCGCAAGGCCTCTGCGGAGTCCTTGTCGCTGCCATCTCTGTGTTGGCCTCTGTGCTGAGTCTCTCTCTCACTGCCCTTTTCTGGACGAAAAGAGCCACAGCACCCAGAGGTGGCGCCAGGGAGCAGTACGAGGACCACCTGCCCAGGACAGAGCAACACTGGCTGAAGCAGCTCGCTCGCGACAACCTGGAGCCCGACGCCAAGGAGAGGAACGTGCTGAAGGTAGCCCAGGCCATGGCGAGGACTTCCTTTGATGATTCAGTTCAAGGCGCTGCAGAGGCCAGCAGTGAAAGCGCAGGGCAGTGAACTTCCTTTGTGCTGTTGAGCGTCACTGACCACGGGGTGAGCCAGGTGCCACGGGGGTTGCCGTCTAAGTCTGGCGAGGCCTCTGTTCTGCCCATCTGTGTCAGGGTGGGGCTTAGGGTGAGACCACCTGTTTGGAGGGTCCCCCAGAAAGCCTGTTGCTCTTCTAATAAAACAACTCTGCTAGTTAACTTTAAAATGCAGTACCTGTTGCCCATGGCTTGGCTCTGTTTGCTCTGTGGGTCTCTGGCAGAAAGTCTTGGATGTTTTCACATCTACCTCTTCCCTCATGGTGTTCTTGGGAAGGACCTGGTGGAGACTGTCATTTGCAAAGTAACGGAGGGAAGCTGGAGCCCAGGGCTCCTGCCAGCCCCACAGTGTCAGTGTCCAGTGCTGTGGCCCCTGGGGCCGGGATGCACTCCTGGGAGTCTGGTGTCCTACTGCGTGGGCCGGTGCCTGCTCCAAGTTGATGACGGGAAATCGGTTTGTGCTTTCCATAGTTGGGACAAAAGTTGGGCTTTAGTTCCTACTGGCGCAGGTTCCCTTTCATCTTAAAGATCTTAACAGTGAGAAGGTGGCACTTAGGGTTTCCCGTTGCTTGTTGTAACCACTGTGCCTCCTGTCATCACCCTGGAGTTAACAAAAGCTGGGAATACCTGGCAGAGTGGGGCCACTATGGCCAGAACAGTCTCCTGCTTTTCCAGCTGTCGTCTTTTCAGCAGTGTATCAGCCCCAAGAAAATCAGGGCCACTCAGGGCCAGAGCCACCACGTTCAGGCTTGGAGGAAGCAGACCCATGTGCTGCGCTCCTCTGGCAGGAGCCAGCTGTCAGCAAGGCTGGACAGTGTGCGCCACGGTGAGCAGATGAGAGCTGGCCCTGAGGGACCCGCCCTAGCTGCCAGCCCCACTGAACTCCGCTCTCAGGACGTTAGGGGGCCAGATAGCAGAAAGTTGGCCCGTCCCCTAGGAGACACCGCCCAGCTGACTGCAGTGCCGCATTGGCTCACTCTCGCTGTGGAACCGTGGGGACAGGGACAGGTGCCACCTAGGCCAGGTGGTCCCTGGGGACACTTGCGTTGTAAGGGGGCGAGTGGGCTGCACTGGAAGCATCCGGTGTCCAGCAGTGTGCAGCTGGTGTCCACGATGAAGCATAGTGTCCTGCATGCCTTGGGAGCCACCCATGGGCGTCCCACTCCCCCGGCTCCAGGGCTGGGATCACTGAGCCCTCCTGCCTGCCTCCCAGGAGCACCTGAGCTGGCCCCATAGTCTGTGCTGTGTTAGGGTGAGTTGTTGGATTTCTTTGGATTAGTTGAATTGGAGAATAATTAAGAGAACCACCAATTAAGCTCGGAAATCCTAAGTTTGCTTTGTTTGGGTTTGTTTTTAGGTGTAACAGTGGTATTTATTCCATTTGAAAGCTGATTTTTTTTCACTGAAGTACAGAGGAGGTCCATAGCTAGGTGACAGTTAGAAATATTTCCAGGCCCAGTACTAGAAGAAGCCTCCCCCATGGAAACAGCCAGTTCGTGTCAGAGTCAGGAGACCGGATGGAGCCCACAGCCACACTTGGGAGCCCCCTCAAAGGTGTGTTGCCGTGAGGTGACACATGTTGGTTAATGGCTTTCTGCAGAGGAATTGCCTAGGGAGAAGATAGTGTGTAGCTGGGCTGCCGTCCTGTCCTAGTCAGGTCCCGGGACTGCTCGTCACTGCTGCTTCCCCGGGCCTGGTGGCTCCTGTGGGGACCAGGTGAGTGGACACCTGTGGCCGGCTGAGGCAGGACCCACCAGTTCCCCAGAGACCAGTTGCTGCCACTTCCCCAGATTGACCAGGGTACCCCAGAGGGCACACAGCACAGAGGAGGCAGCCCAGAGGAGACTCAGGCACCAGTGGCACAGCAGGTGGCCACAGTGCAGGGACCACAGCAACCCCAGCATCCCCAGGTCCACCTGGAGCCCATCGTGTCCCTCGTCACAGCCCTCTCTGGCCTGTGAGCCGCTGGGAGGTCACGGGCTCTGCCTGGGGGGACAGAGCAGTCACGCTGTGAAAACAGCGGAAGGGGAAGGGTGTCACGCTGCTAGGTCCTGTACGGCAGAACCTGCTTCCTGTGCCCTCTGCACGGCATCGGGGCTGTGGCTATCGTCCAGCACCTCCCTGGGCCTGGGAGACTGACACCTGCTGCATACCCTCGGCTCACCGGTGTTGATGCTCGCCGCCTGTTGAGTGTGAATGAAACTCATTGTACAGAAAACGCAGGCCTGGGGTCACTCATTTCAGAGGTCCGGAGAGATGCTGTCAGGACAGAGGCTCTGCGCCTTGCTGAGGACCTGGCTTTCTCCATCCTGCACCCTGGCAGCAGAAGGGACTTCAGGCACAGGCACTGGCTTAGGAGGTGACACAAGTCTTTCATAGTGTCAAAGGACATTTATTTCTGAAAGGAGCAAAGTGTCTTTAATCTCAGCACTGTCCCTTGCTTTCAGATGGTGACTTACATAGTGGTATTTATCTAAACAGTTACATTCATCAGAGAAGGTTACTGTGTTTCCAGTTTGTAATTAACCAAGCCATTTCCAGCTGAATCGAGGCCAAGGTAACTTGAGCCACTTTGACCATAGGAACAATCAGTGCATAGCAGGCATTTCCTTCGCAATCACATTGCATTTGCCAGTGGGTTACATGTGGCAGGGGAAAACATTGAGGAGACACAGATGGTAAGTCCGAGTTCACCAAGAGGGTCTCCCTTAGTTGGGCTTCATGGTGGTGTTTCTTTGGAAACTGTGAGTGGTGCAGATGGGCAGAGTCCAGCTAAAGCAGCAGATCAGAGTCAGGTGCGCCAGCCCGCGGGCACGTGACACACCCAGCCGTGATGCCACTGTGGGCCAGGGCCGGGCAGCCTGCAGATGCTCAGGAAGCCAGGTTTCGTCTGGTTCCCGAACAGCCTGGGGCAAGAGGGAGGGGCGGTACCCTGCACCACTCCGCTGTGCCTCACGCCCGTCCTCCCCTCTAGCCTGAGCCCGGTGCCTGAGGAGCCACTTGGCACGGACCCCAGCCCACCTTGCTAGCCAGTGTCTGCCTTGTGAACCCGGGACGTTGTGGGAGTCTTGCTGAAGGTGAGCTGTCTCCTGATGGAAAATGATGATGTCGCAAGCTGGGTATGATAGCACGTGCCTGGAGTCCCAGCACTCGGGAGGCTGAGGCAGGGAGGATCAGTGTGAGTTCGAGGCCAGCCTGGACTCCATAGTGAGAGAAGCCCGGGCGTGCACTCATCGGTGGTGAGGTGCTTACAGCACCTGTGGATGGGGTGCCCCAAGGACAAACACACTACGAGCAGCAGCCTGGGTGCTGGCCTGACTGCCACAGCCACGCAGTCATCAGGATGGGCAGAGTGCAGTGGCGGCAAGTGCCACCAGCGGGACACCCCCAGCCCCCAGGAGGGAGGAAGCTTCTCCAGCCTGGGCTACAGCTGTCACTAAGCTGGGGAGGCAGAGCTGGAGACCTGTGGCTCCGTGCGGCTCAGATGGGAAGGAGACATAGTGGGCGTGCACACGGGGGTGGGGGGGGCACAGCGGTCTGGCACACGGCCTTGGCCGTCTGAGAGGAGCCGACCTTGGAGAGTGGGCAGGGTGGGTGGGGCCGGACTGGCCGCCGAGGTAGGCCTGCAAGGCTGGGGCCTGCTGCGACGGGAGCTCTGCCATGCCCTGGGCCCTGCCCTCACTGGATGTGCAGCGAGCTCACCCCCACTCCAGCAGGGCCGAACGCCTCTCAGGGTCAGGAAGAGGCTGGAACGAAACATGTTGCTCCACTCATATCTCAGGGCCTTCCACTTTGGATTTCGTAAGCACACGAGCTCCAGAACCAGCATTTGTTAGGAGACTCCCGTCCTCTGAGGTGCTCTCTTGCAGTCCCTGTTCTGGCACCAAGTGGCAACCACACAGGTTTCCGGCCTGCATTGGTTCAGGTGCCCACATCCCAAAGCTGCTTGGGTTGGAAGGACTGCAGGTCTCGGTCTGCAGGCCTGGTTTCCCTGCTTCCACAACCCGCTTGGTTTCTGAGTTCCTCGAACCTTCAGGCATAGGGCTGTACTTGGAAGATGCAGCTTAGCCCTTTTTATTTTAACAAAGGCAACTGTACTTGTTCTTGCTACTTTTAACGCTGAGTTAGCAACACTTGGTGGCACTTGGGGACAGATTATTTTCTCAGTGTGTGCTGATGGACTGCATTGCCCACGGCAGCTGGCCTGGACCAGAGAACAAACCTAAGTAGACCCCTGTGCTGACTGCCAGCTGGGGCCCAGCCTCACTCCTTCTGGTGGAACTCGATGTCCTGCTCTTCTTCAGGGGCAGAGTCCTGTCCTGGACTAGAGTGAGAATCCTGTATGAAATGACTGCTGTGTGTACTCCTTGTCATGGGACACAGAGACCTGTGTCAGCTGTCCCTGTCAGTTGACTCTGGAGTCGTGTAGCTGTGGAGACAGACATTTTTAACCCTAGTAGGCACCTTTATGCTGAGTTGGTGAAACCAGAGGCAAGTCAAGTTGGAAGACAAGACCTATGAGAAGTCATGAACCCAAGCTTACTGGAGAAGGGAAGGTTGCCCCTTCCATTGTCTTGAGCAGCGTTTTATTGCACAAAGGCAGTGAAATGAGCAGACATTCTGTGAGAAGCCTTGGAGCAGATTGAAGGTCCTGGCCCGGTCCCCACCGGGCTGTGGCACCGTCAGCATCTGGGAGGAAGCCGTGGGCCTCTAGCCACAAGTCCAAGTGGGAACAGGTCCAGCTGGAGGGGGTCAGGTGCTGACTCCGATGTTTGGAAGTCTTTAAAGGACAGCAGAAAAACAAAGTCCCCCCACCCCAAAAGAAGAAAAATGTTTTGTGTATTCCCCAAGTATTCATTCATCTGCTGGTACCTGCAGTGCCTCGGGCTCAGCGCCCAGCACCCAGGGGCTTCGGCAGCGACCTTCATCTTCATGTGGGGTGGCTGTGTGCCTGACACAGGGCTGTTTTCCAGGGCAACAGGAGCACACAGGGCCGGAGCCAGGACGCGGGGCCACCTGGCCTGCACCCTGGGTACCCCACACGGCCTGAGGGAGGCCAGGCCCCAGGAGAACAAGCCGTGGTCTTGCTTCATGTATCTCTGTGAACCCCGTGCTCAGTGCTTGTGAGGAAGAGCCCTTTCCACCTCCCACATGGGAGCTAAGAGAGAAGAGGTTTCCTGCTGGGTAGGTCTGACTGTGGGAAAGCTGGTCGGAAAGTCTGTCTCAGAGCCCCTTTCCACTCACAGTCAGGGCAACAGGTGTTGCATAGTGGCAGTTTAGTGTCATCGTCCTCCTTATCAATTATTTTGGGCTCTGGTGCATGCCTGATCTGTGTCTTTGAGAGTGCTGGGCTAATGAACTTAGAATACAAAAGAATGAGTAAAAATGTTTCAGTTACCTAAAGTTATCCAAGCACTTTGTATGCACTAACAGCTCCAGAGGGACAAGGAAACCCAGGTGCGGGGTTTCTCAGACTTCCAGTAAGGGACACAGCCAAGCCACAGGCACCGAGCGCCTCTCCCACCTCTTCACGGCAGGTTTCCAGGAGGGGAAGGTGGACCCAGGAAGCCCATAGGGCCTGGGCGAGACCTTGGTACAGTCACTTAATTTCTCTCTGCTTCTGGTTTTCACATCTGGAGCATGGAAGAAGCTGTTGAGGGCAGGAAGTGTTCCCAAAGAGGCTGCTCTGGTCTGTTAAAACTCATCAGCTGCTCCGGGCTCTGGGAGCCATCCTGCCTTACCTGCTGCTGCCCTCTTGCTCGGCACCGTGAATTTCCACATCCCAGTGCAAGGAGGCAGGGGCTCTGGACAGACAGGAACGCCTGCTGGCCACAGCAGGGTGCCGCCTAACTGCCTCACGGGGAAGCCAGCCGGAGGTGCGCTTTCTGGAGTGCCTTAGACCAGATGCCTTGATCTTGAGCAGATCCACTCCGTTCCCGTGGTTGTCCCCTCCACACTGGCTGCAGACAAGCACAGGGGTTGGATTCCGTCCTGCCACTGGCAGCAGACAAGTGCTGTGCTCCTCAGTCACCTGAGCAAGAAGCCACTAGTGTTCCTACGGAGGGAAGGACATGCATTCCCTGCACTGTGCTGTGCATGTCGAGTGACGTGCATGTGTACCTGCAGCAGACGGTACCCACGTGTGTCAGGCCTTACTAGGGTACACAAAGGTCTGGAATCTATAGTTTCACGCAGAAGGTACAAAACACATCCCACATTATGGTTCTTAGGGCTACAAAGAGCAGGAGTCTTTTATTTGGTTCACTTCAGGTCTGCAGCAACCACTTGTTATTAAAAAAGAGGAACGGAAAGTAAGATGTACAAAAAGATGTATCCCTTTAAAAAGCAACATTATCAGAAATGTCTGTATCATCTCCTGAGTCTCCCTCCCTCTCTGCCGCCTAAACCAAACTGTGAGAAGGAACGGGGAGTGAATGGATAACGGAAAACAGTAAAACTGAATGTAACTGGAACATGCTCTAATCTTTAGTTTATTTCTGGTTAAAAATATAGCAATCCAGTGCAGTGTAGTAAAGAAATCTGCTCGAAAGTTAGCAGAGAAACAGCTAAACATAAGCAAAGCAAGGCAGAGTCCATGAGACAGGCTGTACCCAAGAAGACTGATGGGAAGTCATGTCCAGGGCCTCCTCAGGCAGGAGCGCAGGGTACCCGCACGGGGACTCACCTGGACCGCTCCCCGGCACATCTGCACACGAGAGCTGGGGCCACGGGCCCCTGGCTGCTTTGTTGGGTGATGGGGCAACCCTGGGAAGGGAGGCAGAAACAGAAGGGACCTGTTTGTGTCTGACTGGACCGAGTTACATTGCACACCTGGGGAGGTATTGGATATGCAACAGTTGCTAGGAAACTCAAGCCACTGGGTTTCAACGACATTCCTGTCCCAGGACCAGACCCGCTCTGGAGTAGCACTGAGGCATCTGGAGGGAATATGCATATCTGTTATGGGAAGTTGAGGCAGGCACAGTACAAAGATGTGAGAACCCGAGGAGGTCAGTAACAGCGAGAGGTGATGTCCCACACGGGGCATCACTGCCAGGGACACAGAAGCCTGAATATACATCCTGCATACTAGGTGCAAAAACGCCACATGCTCAGAGCCCAGGCGTGGTGTCAGACTGTCCGTGGCACAGTGGGCCCCAGCCCCTCAGCGCTCAGATGTGCCCGGCCGGGTCTGGGTCGGCTCGACCCCGGGACGTCTGCAGCACAGCCTCTCTGGGTCTGGGGGAGGGGGGCTGGGCGGGGCAAACAATGAGTGAGCAAGGACAGCGGAAGAAATAAGGACTTTGCTTTAAGACTCGTGTGGGAGGTGGCCTCGCAAGGCCACGGGGCAGTGCCGAGAGGGTGCGGGTTGTGGTCTGTTTCCTGGGGAGGACAAAGGTGCTGCCCCTCTCCTCCCTTAAGTGTGCAGCACAGATTTAAAGTAGAAAAGGCCTGGGCTGTCTCCCACCGGACGTGCCCCAGCTATTCCAACAGGAAAAGCAGTAGCTGGACTTCCCCCGTCAGCCCTGCGGTGGCCACTCTCCCCCCACCCGGCTAGCTGGGCTCTCCCAGGGCCGCCACCTTCCACACCCATGACCGGAAGTGTTCGGACAGCGACGCCCTGACGACATTTCTCTTTTTTGCTGCTGGTTTGACGGGATCCCTTCTCTCCTCATCAAGCTGGAGGGTCGGCGTGCTGGCCTCCTTCTGCCATGCCACACAGCATAGTGTTATACAAGCAAAGAATTTTGGCTAGAATCCAAAAAACATTACCCAGAAAAAAAGGCAAACTGTGAGTAATACCCAATCATGTTGTTCTTCTGTGGAAAGACTTGGAAGTTGTGGGGCTGTCCAGGTTAGGATCTTTCCCTTTTTGTTGTTTTGCTTTTAACGGCCTTCTGGACACCGTTACTTTTGGAATCGAGGCAATCGTATCAGATGAAAAAGTTAATAAACAAAATGGCAACGCCAATGTTGAGCAGGATCACCATGACGACCAGGATGGGAGCCGAGCCCTGGAACAGAAGGGGGAAGGAGAGATGAGTGTGGCGCCATGGACCGCACCCTGTCCCTCCCCAGACAGGAAGCTGTGCTCCGAGGGGCTGGAGGGAGGGAGGGCGGCACCACCAGCTTGTTTTTCTGCAGGCAGGACTGTGGTCTGGGAACCTTGGCCAGTTCCCTGGTGCCTGGGGGAACCCAGGCCTCCAGACACCCACACAGCAGGCACTCCAGCAACCAGCACGGCAGTGGAGTTTCAGATTCGGATGCCGCCCATCCCTCGAGCCAGACAGCATCAGTCGTGACCCAGCAGACACAGCAGATGGGCCTAAAAAGCACCTCCTGGGAACGCACTCCTCCACCCTCAGAGCACTTCTGTACTCCCCGTGCTGGCTTCCTGTCCGGCAGATTGTTCCTGAGCACCGTGTGCCAGGCTCAGCGCCCAGGGCCTGGTCCCCCCCTGCCCAGGACTCCCCTCAGCAGTGACATCCACAGAGACCCCTGCCTATGGGCTGCCACACTGGAGGTGGACCTCAGGAGAGCTGTCCTCTGAGACCAGGTGTCACTGCAGTGCCTGCCTCGGGGCTACCTCCCAGAGGGGCCTGGCCCAAGCATGGAAGGTGCCCACCCAGCCGGCCCTTGCCTGGGGTCTCGGAAGCAGACTTGGCATCCTTTCCAGTGCTGCTCTGGGTCTGCCCACAGCCATGAGGCACCTGGGAAGGGCATCTCTCCCTCCCACCCCCGCCAACTGCAAAGAAGCCACACATGTACCTCTACCCAGGCCGGCTGCAGAGTGTGCCAGGCAAGGGAGCTCTGGGAGCAGCCTTGGCCTAAAGGCCACTTCCTTGCCACCCCATCCCTCTGCTCAGCATTTGGAGACAGCTGAGGCTGCCTCTCCAGGCTGAGCAGTCCCCAGAAGTGCCTCTCCCCACAGGGAGGTACTGCTCCTGAGTCCACCCAGCTCCTCCCTCTCAGGCGAGAGTGGGTGGAAGAACACAGTTCCTCAGAAGGCCCACCAGAATCACCACGTGAGCTGGCAGCGCCACTCCTACACGTCACCCCCAAGCCACATCCACTCAAAAGCTTGTGCATAGACGCTCACAGCAGCCTGAAAGTGGAAACCAAGTGTCCAAAACAGATGACTGGGTAAGGAAAACTTGTGTCCACACAGCGGAAGGCCACTCAGCTGTGACAGGGAGCGAGGCTTTGGAAGACAACGCCAAGTGGGGAGAGCCAGACAGGCCACTGACTGTGGCCCTTAGACACAAATTGTCGGGAAAAGACAAATCCACAGACAGGACCCAGCGGTGCCAAGCTGGGGCCGTGGGGGGACTGTAACCGCAGGGCGTCTTCTAAGGCACCGAGTGAGAGTTTGGTGGTTGCATAGCTCTCAATACGCTAAAACCACTGAACTGCACCTTCAGACTGGTGGCATGCATGGTATGTGAACCGGCAGTGAAACAGGCCAGGAGAGCAGGTGTCCATGGAGGGGCAGGCCTCCCAGGGAGGAGGCCTTCCAGAGGCCTGGGGGAGCCCTGGGGAGCCGTGAGGGGCAGCTCTGCCCTCACCCTGTGCAGGAGTCCCTGGGTGCTCCATGCCCAGTGAGGGAAGCGCCCAGACCCCGCGAGCCTGCAGATCTGTGACCCCGGTCAGGTGTCCTTCCTGAGTGACAGCTCCCCTGCCAGGACCCTGGGAGTGCCACTGTGACGGAGGTTTCACAGCGAACTCCATAGCTGGTGATGGCTAAATGTTCAGGTGGGCCTCAGTCTCCAAACTACTGAGAGCCGAAGCCAGGCCCACCTGGCCCCGGAGCCCACAGCCTCCCTGGGCTCTGCTCTGTACCCCCCGGGCAGGCTCCCCCTGCCTGTGGGACACACTTACTTGAGACTTAAGAAAACAAGAAATTTGCTAACCAAACTTTAGGCAGCAAAGCTCTCTAAACTCACAGACTTGGCTGAGGGAGGAGGATGCAGGTGGCCCGCCCGTGCTCCAACCACCCTGGGGCAGCAGAGCAGGGCCAGAGGAAGCTGGCCTTGGAACCTTGTCCTCATGAGGCAGAGAGCTGTCTGAAGGCGGCAAGGCCTCGGGGTGGCTGAGGTTCCCAGTCTACCCCTCCTCGTGCCCTGGCTGGACTAGCCCTGCAGGAGCAGGCAGCTGCCCACCAAGGTCAGCCCCGGAGGAAAGCCCACTGCTTCATGGAGGGAAGGGGACTATGGCTCATTGTCCCAGGGCGGGGGGGAGACAGGACCAAGCAGGCACCCTGGGGGCTGGGGTCCTGGGAGCTCAGGGGGCCTGCCGCATCTCCACACAGCCCCCGCCACTGTCACCTGTCACCTGCAGCCGCCACCAGCCATGGCAGAGTCACAAGTCATTCCCAGGAACGGTGCAAAGGGCAGAGCTCCCCACCCACAGTGACTGCATCCATGGGCCGGAACCCCAGCCTCCTATGAGGAGCAGTGGGGACTCAGGTCTAGGCTGGGGACAGGAGGGAGGGTCCTGTGGGCTCCAGGAGTGGTAGAAGGGGCCACCCAGGCTCTGGCATTTGCTAGGCTGGTCCTTCTGCCACCCCCACCCCCCGCTGCTCCCGTTGACCTCCCCTCCCCACTGCCAGGCTCCCTGAGTGTGGGCGATGCCTCTGGCAAGAGGACACAGGGCAGAAGGAAGTGTGCAGAGCTGTGACACCCAGCCCTCCCAAAGGCCACTCACTGTCCCCGCCACAAATGCTGCAAGAGCAGGCAGGCCACCTCCTAGTCCCCCACAGGCAGGGCTGAGGGGCAGCTATGTCCTTGCCACCCTGTCTCCCCAGGGGGACAAGCCCTGCCTGACAGGAGGCGGGACCCAGATACCTGCAGGCTCCTTTCAGGGTAGACCCTCGGCCCCGGCCACCTCCAGAAGTCCCACGCTGGCCAACCCCAGCGCGCTCGGATCGAAGCACCTCAAAGAGCCAACTCGGTTAAGCAGGCTAAATATAGACCCTGTTTCCTAAACTCCCACCCCTGCCCATCCCTCCATGGTTCCTAAAATAGCCACGCACACACAGCCGGTCGCTGCAACGCTGGGAAATAGAGTTGTAAGTGTGAGCTGGTATTTCAGTCCCAGCACTGCACTCGGGCTGCCCCTGGGCCTGGGGGAGGGGAACGCTCGGAGACAGCCAGTGGCTTCAGGTGGAGGCAGAAACTCGGCCTGAGCGTGACGCCTGGGGTGGGACCAACCCACATGGCAGCTCCGGCTGGCTGCAAGCTGCATGCCTTGTAGGCAGAGGACTGCTAAGGAGACCCAAGATAGGCATGAGAGGCCCCACTGGGCCAACGCTGCCAGGCCCCAGGGCCCCAAAAGCTCACCACCAGCCCCTCTGCCCTCTGGGTGTGCGCGGCCCTGTCCCAGACACCCCCAGCCTGGCCAGAATGAGGCACTGTTTCCCCAGATCCGGACCTGGGAGGACAGCACAGGTAAGGTGTCTGAGGGAGGCCAGGGTGAGGCTCAGAGCCTACAGCTCTCCCTCCCAGGAAACTGGGCTCTGTTCCAAACTGAGACCGAGGCCACAGCACTAGGACCTGCTGCCACTGCCCAGGACGCCAGCTCCCAGGAGCAGGGTGCAGCCCCAGCCTGGAGTCTGGCACATTCACCAGCGGTGCCTGGGCGCGGGACTCATCCTGTTCCTCTTCTCTCTTCCAAGACAGGGCCACCCAGGTGAGACGGCCCAAGCCTCTGGCCAGGGGCAGCCGGGGCTCGAGCAGGACGAGGACAGGCTGGGTCCCGAGACACCTGGTTCCCTTTCGGGGGTGCCCAGGACCCGCTGCCTGCTTCCTGAGTGGGTGAGCCTGGGCCCTCTCCCCACCCAGCCTCGCGGGCGGGCCAGCTCCCCACGGAAGCAGCGCTTGGCCTGAGGGGCCCCAGCTGTACCCCCACAAGAGGAGCCTGAGACCCGAAACCCCCAGGCCAGAGGGGCTGCAGCCGGCCACTCACCGTGCTGGACTTGAGCTCGTCCCCGGCCTCCTCATCCGACTCCAGTGCCACAGGGAGGGACTTCTGGGGTGGCGAGAAGGTGAGGTCCCAGCGCAGCAGCCGGGGCTCTGGACGGTCCCCCAGCCGCAGGCTCTCCAGCTTCTGCACCACGGGCTCCGCAGAGGCTGCCCTGAAGTTCTCCTTGTTCTGGGCCTTGGGCCTCAGTCTCTGCAGCCCAAAGCCCCGGTCCTCGGGCGCACGCCGGTCGCCCCCTGCGCCCCGGCTGTGCCGCCGCCTCTGGGGGTACACGTCCTGCGAGCCCGAGTCCATCCTCAGCAGCGGCTTCATCTCCAGCTTGTAGGTGCTGGGCTGCTCCTCGTCTGGCCCGGGCAGCATGGCACCCCCGGAGCTGGGGTTGCCGGCCCGGTGGTGGGAAGTCCACGAGAACGTGGTGGGGGACTCCGTCCGCCGCTCCCGGGGCTTGGGGTTCCCAGGCAGCTTGTGTCCGGAACTCCGGGTGCGAAAGTCCTCGGCTGGGTGGCCGCTGCGCAGGGCGCTGCCTCGGATGCCCCTGGAGCCACCGGCCTTCTCCTCGCCCCAGCTGTTGCGGGCATAGTCCCCTCCCCGACCCTCCACTAGCATCTGAATGTCCCCACCCCGCTCCTCGTCCACGGAGACCTGCCGGGAGAAGTGGGCCACCTTGCTCCTGGAGGTGGGGGCTGGCGGCGGCGTGGCCGAGGGGCTGGCGGGGAAGCTCTGGAGGGGGCTGTCGTCGGGGGTCAGGTCCGAAGGGGTGGTGCCCTTTCGGTACAGCTCGGGGCTCTCCTGCTGCAGGGGGCTCCCGGTGGAGAGCACCTCGATGTCATCACAGGAAACCTGGTGCTTCGGCCTCTGGTACTCAAGCCCTTGGAGGAGGAGAAAGCACACAGCGGTTACACAGAGCTGCGCATCCTGCTCACCCTGGCAACCCAGGGACTCCACCAGCCCCACGGTGCACCGGATGACCATCTGGCCCCACAGAGCAGAGGACAGCACCCTGCCTGGTCCCCTGGTCCCCTGGTCCCACACAGCTGGCCTGAGGTGCCAGAGCTCAGGGAGGCTGAGCAGCATCATGGCACAGCTCCTGGCCCCACCTGCCTGCTGAGAACTCTGTGCTTCCCGCTGGAGGAGCAGCTGGGGCGGGGGCGGGGGGGCAGTGTTGGGCCCAGACCGCGCTCAGCACCTGTCCCTGCAGGGGTCCCAGGGACACCTGGTATCTGGCTTCCAGAGGCAGGATGCTCTGGGGAGGAAGGAGCAGACCTGGGACCCAGAGCCAGCTCTGCAGACAGCAGGCAAGGTCCCCATCTGGAGGTGGCTCTGTCCCAGGGACCTTGGACCTAGTGTCCTGGGGCCCGAGAGGGAGCTGGTGGAGCAGGCCATTTCTAGGAAGGCCTTGGGCACATCTCTTTGTAGTAAATAGTCACACACGTGTCTAAGCAGAGACCCAGAGTTCACACACACACACCCTGCCAGCCTGAGCAGAAGGCCCCAGAAGCAAGGGCTCAGCCCCACCGTCCTGTGGGTCACAGAGCTCTGCTGGGGGCTGTGACCCATGGCCACAGCCAGGACACCAAGAGAAGCCTGACGCCTGGCCACCCTCCCACCTTGCACTCCAGGCCTGACCTCTGGCAGAAGGTGGGGGGGGCGGGGCGATACGATCCTGCATGGGCTTGAGAGCAGCGGGCAGCCCCTCATTCTGTGTCCCCATGTGTCAGGATAGTGGGCCAGGTGACACTGAGGGCCCAGTCACTTCCTTTGTGGTCTCAGAGTCTGGTCCAGGACTGAAGC